ATTATTTTTATAGCTTCGGCGGAGGTACTAAAACTTTTAATTATTAATTAAAATAGTGCTTTTTTATTAAAATTTAAACTAATTTAATATAAATATCTATTATATAATATATTAATTTATATTTTACGCCTTTTAGTTTTAATAAAATATACGCTTATTTAGGTGGCCCCGGCTAATCCCCGGGAGGTCCCGTATATCTATTTAAACACTATAAGGTTGACCCGTATGCTTAAGCACACCCCAATATATGGGAACCATAATCCACCATCTGACACTTAGGTTTATACCGCAATTATCGCTATATATATTATAATAAAAACCTTATTATATTAACCGGATTAAGCGCGCTTTTTGCGTCCTTTAAATATTCGTAAAAAATAACGTATAAAATAATTAAAATACGATTATTTTCGATTAGCTATATTACGTAATTATTATTTTTTTAGTAATTAAAAAATAAAGCTTTTGCCCCGTTTAAATATAGCTTTTTATTATGTATTTTTTTATTCCGATCGATATACGCTATATAGCGGCTGCTAAAAATTAATAATTTTGAATTATTAGGCTGGTATAAGCGCGTTTTTTTTTTTTGCAGGTTTTATTTTATTTTAATATGCTTTATAAAGGGTAAAATCTTTAATTATAAATTAGCTTATGCGATTAATTATATAATATATTATTAAAAAAACGTGGTTTTAAAAATAGGTAGGAATTTTTATTTAGATAATTATAGCTTTTGCTTTATTTTAAAGGAATTTAATCCCTTTTTCGGCAATACCGTTTTAATATTAATTATATATAAACGATAAAATTATTTTAATTTTTTTAATATCGTATTTTTTTATAAATTCTTTAAGCGCGAATTTTTTTTTTTATTAATTTTAATAGTTTTTAATTTAATCCGCGATCCGTTTATATTTAAAATTTATGCTTATAAGCGCGCTAAGGTTTTATTAATATAAGTAAATAATATAAATTATATTTTATTTTTAATTTAATAAAATATAAACGTTTTTTTTTTATTTTTATTATTTATAATTAGGCTAAAATAACTTTTATTTTTAATAATTACCGGCTTAATCGATTTAAAATTATATTAAATAATTTTATTTACCGCGTTAGCTTTTTTTTGCGGTTGCTAAAAAAGGCGTTTTTAACGCTTTCGCCTAATTATACGCTAAGTAGGGTAATTGTATTACCTGTTTGGCTTTAAAACCGATTTTAATCGTCCGTTAAATAATTTATCGCAGCTTTTCGGCGTTTAAATAATATAAACGGTAATATTAAAAAATAAGCTATTAAATTAAGCGTTTTATTAGCTTAATATTATTAAATGCATTATTAATTTTAAATATTGCTTTAATTAATTTTTTAATTTTATTATCGCCGATTTTAAGCGCTTTATACCGTTAAAAATTTTATTATAAATTAATTAGCGTTGCTATTAAACGTATTTAAGGTTTTAGTTTTCCGAACCGCTATAGGTAAAAGCTACGCTTAGGAATATTAAAGGAAGTTATTATTTTACCGTTTTTATTTATTAAGCTATTTTTATAAATAAAACCTTCCGTTAAATATTAGCGTTCGCTTAATATAATTTTTATAAAGAAGTTTTTAATATAAAAAGTTTTTAATATGCTTACGATTATTTTTTCTCCCTTTGCCTTTATTAGGAATTTTTTATTAAATCCGATTTATTAGGTATAAATTAGTTTTTTATTTATATTAACCCTAAATTTTTTCCGCGTAAAATTTATTACGGTGCCTTTTTTAAAGTTATTTGCGTTAGGGGTAATATTAATATTTAATTTAGTATTAAATAATAACGGGCGTTTAATGCTTTTTATATAATATATTAAATTTACGTAAATATTAAAATCGAAAAGGGAAATTAAAAAGCTAAATAAAAGGTTATAAATTACGCTTATATTATTATTAAAAATAATAGGTAATATTATAATATTTTTAACGTTATTATTAAGCGGCTAAAGGGAATTATTATTTTTTAATTGTGAGTTTTTATTAATTAAAAATTAGTCGTATTTTTATTATATTTGCATTTAGATTTGTATATTATTTCGCTTTACGATAACGGCTATATTATAGCCGGATTTTTTATCGTAATCCTTTAATCCCGGGATTAGTTTATTATTATTTTATAATTTTTTTAACGTTATATTATTCGCGTTATTATTTTTTCGTTTTTTTTTTAGCTTAGGATAATCTTTAGCGATATGCCTATATTCGTTATAATTATAATAAAAAGGGCCTTTCTCCTTATTAAATTTAGGCTTATGCTTCTTTTTATTATCTTTGCCGTTACCCTTACCGTTATTATTATTATTATTATTAGTATTATGGGAGTTAGTATTTTTATTACTATTGCTGTTGTTATTATTATTACGGCGCCTTTTTTTGCTTCCGATTTTGCTTTTATGCTTATCGATAAAATTCGAATTAAGCTTTATTATAATTATTTCCGTATATAAAAAAATAGCGTTAATACCCTTTATTTATATATAGGCATTTTTTTTATAATTACCGATAAATATCGTAATTTGCTATTGCTAATTTATTTTTATTTTAGTATTTTTATATTATTTAATTAAACGCGTAAAGCTAATAATATAAAGCATAGGATTTTTCTTATTATATATAAATTTATTAAGCTTTTATTATAACGCCTTTTAATAGGCCTTATTTATATTAGTATAAATGCGGTTAAATATTTTAAATATTTTTGTTTTTTTTTTCGAGGCCTTTAATAAGGTTAATAATATTACGCTTATTAGTCTTTTAAATATATCTAATAATGTGTAGCTCGTTTATTATAATAAGCTTTAAAAACCCGTTATTTACAAAACCGATTAATTTAAAAGCAATTATAAATATATTTTTTTACGTAGCCTAATTATTTAGGCCCTTTAAATGGTATTTTTTATTAAAAAAAAAATCGAAATGCTTTTAATTTAATATATAGCTAGCAATTATGCTTATAATAGGCGTTATTATAATTAATTAACGCGACGTAGTTTTATATGCGCTTTTTTTATTTAAGTTATTTTTAAAAAAGGAAAAGGACGACGATAGGTTATTTTTTATTAGCATTTTGCCCTTAGCGCAAGCTTTATTACGGAGCGTTTTTTAGCGACGGCGTTTATTTTTTAATTTATTTAATAAATTATTATGCTAATTAAAAATGGATTAATTGCGTTCCTTCCGCGATTTTTTTACGGATTTAAATCGCCGGATTAGGAGCTTATTACCTAAGGTATTTAGGAGCTTAATAATACGGATAAATTTATTTTTACCGTTACGTTAACGGCTATTTTTTTTTTATTATTTAAATAAGACGATTTAAAATTATTATTATTTATTGCGCTTTACGTTTTTTACTTATTTTTCTAAGCTTTTGCTTATTTTTATTTTGCTTATTAATAGCTTTTTTTTTTAGCTTAAGCTCGTTGCGTCGGTATATAGCTTTAAAGTTTTTATAATTAATTTTTATATTTTTTAGGTTAGCCGTTTATATAACGATAATATCGTTTTTTATTTTATTAAATACTAATATAACGCGGAGGAGCTTTTTTAAATCGCTTTTAATTGCCTTTAAAAAGTTAATATTTATAATATTTTTATCGGGCTGCTTAATATTAGCCTCGTTATTAGGTTTAGCGGTAATAAGCTTTACGGGAGTATTATTATTAATTAGGTTTTATTTTTATACCGGATTTTAATTTATTATAGGATTTGCTATTATATTATTTATTTTAATACCTATTAGGTGCTAAAGGTACGAAGGACTTTTTAACGTCGGAATATTGCTATTATATAAATAATTTTACAAAATTTACGAAATTATAAAATTATATAAACGATAGCAAAAAGGGAATTAATTAAAAAATACGATATAATAACTATTTATAAGCCTAAAAATTGCCAATTTCCCGTTTATATAGCCACCTACGGTAATAAAGCCGTAGGCACCCGGCTGTAGCCGTTTCTGGACTCTTCCACGATCCTTTATTGACTATAGGCACCAGCAGGCCCCAGCGCCCTCCGCCAACATATGTAAGGATTATCACCTTGAGCGACATAAAGTAGACGTAGGGCTGCGTAGGTACGTACATAATGGAGATTGCAGCAGATCCCGGAGCAATCACCGAACAGGCGACCAGTAAGCGCCCCATTTGTATAAGTATAATAGGCCAAGGCTGCTTACAAAGGCCGGGGAAATAAGCTTTGGGCACGTTTTCTTTAAAAGTCTTAGCTTTGAACGGACAGGGGGTCGAGCGGGGGCTTCAGGGCCGCACCGGGGGATTTGTTTGTTCCAGACGCACACCGAAGAATTCGAGTTCCCTTGCACCGAGACCCCCTGTAGCATCTAGCGTCATGACTTTGTAGGGGGGAATAAATGTCAGCAATTCAAAACTCGCTAGAATATTGCCGTTTAGTTTGACCAACGATATCATGGCTTTTGAATATGCCTTGGACATATAGAGATAGACATCACGATTTATGCAGGGTTTGCAAAAATTCAACAAACACCAGATGCAAGCCAAGCCAGATTTAAGGTTGAATAAACGGCCGCGGAAGTGGCCCGTTCCGCTCGCCGTTAGATACCTCCGCCGCTACCTCCGCCATCTTACCCCGGTACATATATACGTTTGTACTCGCTGCCACCCCTGGCTGCATGTGCCTTACGCGCGTGAGTTGAGGAGAATCCATGTCATTCGTTCCATGCTCCTTGTAAAGTTATTTACCCAATAGTTTCCCCCGTCTGTGCTGAAAAAAAACTAGAGGTGCTAGAATCGAAGACGACTTCTTTCCTCAACTGTATGACTTTGACACTACTCCACAACCATGACTCCCGTCTGAGTCATCTTCTCTCTTTTCTTTCTCTACCCTTTCTCTCTTCCCACCTTCTTTGTCTCTCTCTATCCCCTTGTAAGAGCAACATTGAAAGAACGAAAGGGAAAATCTACCACCACCAAATCGCCATGTCCGCCAACGACAAGCCCATCCGGCGTTCGCTAGATTCGCGTCTGCCGCCCTGGATTGCGCGTTGGATTGGCATCCGCACTCAGCCACCAAAACCAAAATCAACCTATGTTCCCTACCTGTGGGCATTTATTGGCGCATTCTGCGGTCTGTCTCTTCTGCAGGCCGTCTTCGGCCATGCACCCTACTTCATTGAGAGGGGAGTACCGCCCATCATCGCATCCTATGTTAGTATCCAGAGTCTAGGCCGTCTGCCTGACTGGACCCTAAAAGTCCCTCCCAATGTTCATAGGGGCGTGGCTGATTTGTCCGGTGCTAACAGGGTGCTACTGCCGTGCTCTGCTATGCTCTGCCCGAGGCCCCATTGGCCCAGCCGCGCGCAGTTTTGGGCGGCCACTTCTTCAGCGCGTTGACCGGCATCATCATCGCCCGGATTTTCCAGCTCAACAACCTCAAAGACGACGAGAGCCCTCGGCGCCTCGCTTGGCTAGCTGCCACCCTGGCCTCCTCCATCGCAATAGTTGTCATGCAAGCAACCAAGACAGTCCATCCGCCCGCGGGAGCGACAGCACTCTTGCCCATTGTTACTCCGGCTGTCAACAGACTGAACTGGTACCTTTTGCCTGTGGTTCTACTGTCATCTGTCCTGATGATTGTTGTCGCCTTGATCACCAACAACATCCAGCAGAGGTATCCCGTTTTCTGGTGGGCTCCAAAGCCGCCACCGAAGGCTCCTGCTACGTTGCCGGTCGCGAGTGAGAATGGAACGAAATAGAAGACAATTTATGTGGAACACTTCACATCTCATCAAAAGAAGGGTTATAGTCACGTTGAAGATTGTCAGAGTCGCTTTTTTTCCTTGGGACGGCAGAGTCCGAGACAATTGAAAATCTGTAAGCACTTGGGAAGTCTCAGCTGCGTTGCTTATTCAAGTCTGTCAACCAGCTATCACCTGAAGTCACAACAACGTTTGTGTGGACACTAGGTTCACACAACTAGACAAACTAACATATGCTTCGGGCATTAATCAAGAGGGCATGCTTTTACTGGGTGAGATCTGCTGCGAATTTGATAAAAGTGATCCTTCTCTCAAATATAATATTTTATTCTCTGCAAGTAATAAGAGCCCATATCTTGTAATAGACTTAATCAATTCAAATTTGGCTGTTTTTTGTAATTCTTACATTTGCGGGGACTTGTCTGCTTTTCGAGGACACAATTATTCCAGCAGATATTTTAGTACGATCGTATCGCTCAGCTAACCCCCCTGTCGAAATACTATGTAGACCAGGGCAATCCTACAAAGATGCATATCGATCTATTAAACTCATGCATCACATAAGGTACTGAGGGTTACATTTATAGATCTGCACGTGAATGATTCAACTTGCGAAGGGTGTTGATACTCAAATGGCAAATCCCTACAAAATAAAAGGATCCTCACAGACTAAGAATCTGGTTAGGCAACCCAAAGTGAAACGTATCTAATTAAGCCTAAAATGATAAGAATCGTTTTATTAAATATGCAATTTGAAAGTCTCCAATTGTGGCAAGCCTCTCATTATCGCTGATTAACCAAAACGTAATTCGCCATTGTAGATTCCCAAAGGTTGCCACAGGATAGCTTCTCCTGCTAGAAACCAATCAATCTTTCGCATTCAGTTTCTGATTCGTATTGTCATAAAGAGAGGCAAACCGGTTGGATCTATTTCACAAGCCTGCAAAACCTAACCTAAAGATTTTGTTGAATGATACGAGATGACGTGGCTGTCGTATCCGGTATTTCTAGTTATTATAGCATTATTGATATAAATGAAGCACGCCCAAGTTTACAGAACTACCGCTTTTGTAAAGCGGCTCAATGGCTGGCTAGACGCGACACCAGCCCTTACATAACATCATCAAGCTGATTGTCAATAGCCATCAACGGACTTATATCAGGCTGCGTTTATGCAAAATTCCATTGATTGGCGCGACGCCTTTCATGTAATGCCATCCGTAGCCCCTACCTGGTTGTCCTCAGCCTACATTGTAATCAAAGACGGGACTGATTATCAAGATACATGTCGCCCTGGGAACAGACAATCATTCGGAAAGAGATATCGGTACTGGTTAGAGTCACTAAACTTTAGCAAGCAGTAGAAGAATAGTGACAGTATTCAAATTATTTTCTCCATAATGGCTGGGCAACAGGAACACTGCGTAATCAAATTGGGAGGGCACTAAGTTCAAACACTTGCGATTTGCGATAATGGTTTACAATACACTCTATTCCCAAGAGTCTCCCGCCTTGCTTGATATTTGATAAGCCCATTATAATTAAATACGAAACTCCTGGATTTTTTTTCCGAAAGAGAAAAAAAAAGAACTCCGGTGCAGGGGTTTGAACCCTGGCCCTTGCGGTCTTCTGTACCGTGAAGGTTATGAAAACGCAAAATCCTAAACCACTAGACGACACCGGATGCGATTTGTTGTTGGAAGATGGTGGCTTGTTTGGCATTGTGAAGGTGGTTGGTTCATTGGCATCGCCGTTTGTAGACCGGCGTTTGTCATGGACAATGCGGCACCGGCATTCGCGGTTTGCAAACAAGATTCGATTTCATGGGTGGGTGTATCATGCGTAATTATATAATGCCCAACGGCTATTTCTTTATGCATGTGTAATCGATTACCTAATTCCTTCTCTGGTTGTCAATGGCTAAAATACGTAAATCCTTCGATCCAAGAGGGAACACGTCTGTATTTGACCGAGTCTCATCACATTCGCATATCCGTGGTCTTCACAGCACACATAACAAGATGTGGATAAGCTAGGTCCTGTCCTCTTCTGTCGTCACGGGAACATGCAGAACCTTCCATACACGGCTCTTTTCAACCGAAGAGTCATGGTTCGATGACACGTGAACAATCACATTGGAATAGTTTAGCATGTCGTCATCAAGCATAGTACTGTCAAGACCTAAATAATATCGAGGTGCAACCAAAACGGCGCACATAACATATGTACCCAATATCTAACCTAAACGCCTGCCCATGTCACCATTGTGTGCACTCAAAGCTGCACACTGGCACCAATGCCTTGACCTCGATACCAGAACTCCTCCTTCCAATTGCCCAATCTGATATCAACTATGGCGTGAGCATCAAGCTTTAGCCTGCCTCCGAGCGCCTTCCTGACCGCATCGTATCCGACGGATCCAACCGACCACTCCACTGGTAGCCTTGGGGTCGTCGATTTGCCCGGTGGTGCCTGGAAAGGAAGCTCATGTATAATCTTTCCAATTGTTTCCGTATGGTTATATAACGCGGTTGCATTAACAAAGTCAATATAAACAGTATTGTAGTGTAGTGGTGAAACGAGTGTAAATGTCGCTGTTGATGATAAAAAGTGGAATGTCGCATCTCTGATAAAGTGAGACCTTTCGTCAGGTGTGTCGCCTGGGAGATCGAGCTTGGGCGTGGGAACAGTAACGTTAAACCTGGAGAGTATTTCGGAAAGAATGTCTTGACCTGGGATGCTTTTCCGGTGTGGCTTAACAGTAATGGTCGTGTTGTATCCAGAAAGATATTGAGAGACAAGCTCCCGTCCAACATGTCGACCATGACTGCCACTTGCGCTAGGTTCCCACTTGGCAGTGACCAATATTTCAGAGTTCACTCCCTTAACCACATCGACATGCTCGACAGTCGCACGACCAAGGACAGTATTATTACTCATGACGTGGACATCAAAATATGGGACGCTTGCGGTATATGGGGTAGGATTGGTGATATTAACCAATGCCTGGAGTGTGATGGAAGTTGCCGATGTATCGAGTATCTTCAGAGACCTAACTTTGGGCACGAGCTGTGCCAGCGAGTCCTTGCCGCCAGACAAGGCTAGGGTCCAGTCAGCATGAATTCCATGTCGAAGCATAAATGACAGGGGAAAAACTGCAACAGCCTGTCCTAAAAGATTGGCTGTTGGAGAAGGGGACTGACAGTATCGGGACGACTAGTACGGACGTTTTACTGGAATTTTGCCCTCCGCCGGAACATCCTTGATAATCAATTGGCCCAGAGCTGTCACCACTTTGACATCGACAGCAGCTTTAATGTCCAGTTGTATAGGTTTTCCGCCAAACATGAGCGTTTGAACAACTTCGCTGAACACGTCCGCATCAGTGACATTGAGAGGTGCGTCGTTGATGCGTGACTGGATCTTCAGTGTTGCTTCCTCGCCGCTCTTTCCGTCAACTTTGGTGGAATTTGCGTGTTGCCATTTCTTGAGGTTCAGCTCTCCAAGTTTCTTCGACTTGTAAAACACGTCAGCAGCTGCCCTCACTCGGGTAACATTGACACCAAAGTTCATTTCTGCCGGAAGACCAGCAGTGACAAGAACGTTGCCGGAGACCTTGGGATTCGCATTGGGGTCTCCCTCATCTGCCCATGGGTCCGGTAGCGTGAAATGCACATCAGTGAGAGAAAAGTTTCGCAATAAACCGTCAAGTGATCTTCCCGGGAATGGAACTGGAAGTGTTACACTTGACAGTATGTCGGCAATCCAGGGCGGTGTGCTGCCATCGGGTTGGCTGCTGCCGCGGACAAATAAGGTTGCGGGCTCGCCATGCATGTACTGCTTGAGCAGCAGATCCAGGGGTGAAGAATTTGTGTTTGGACACACATGCGTGAGTGACTCTGGCAGCTCGCGAATCAAGCCATGCACCTCGACTTCCACATCAGCACGGGGTTTGACGAATACTTCACTTGTCACAGCATCGGCAACGATAATGTACTGATCGTCGTCGCAGCCGGGCACGAGAATGTCAAACGCGAGCTCGGGGACATCTAGCTCGACAGGGTACTCATTGTAGGCGCTGAGAGCTACCTCTGCAACCATCGATATCTTGTCACCGGGCGAGGGAACATCCTTTACATTGAGTCGGGTGATATTGTATGCGGGCATCGCAGGAATCTTGTTGGCTACGCAATCTATTAGTCAATGTTTCAGAATGTGAAAAGTTAGTGCAAAAAGTATAAAATCATATTTGATCTAGAAGAAAGCTTTCTCTCCAAGGTAAAGAGATGCGAAAGAGCGGTAGAGAGATTGACCTTCAAAAACCATGGATTCGACAATGTTGTGAGTTCCAAGGGGTATGATTCCGGACTTTAGTGTGAGATCGGTCGCACCCTTGAGGCGTAGTCTGTCTAGGCGGCCCTCGAGCCACTCGTTGGCGATGGAGCGGATTCCCTCTACATCACCAGGAGATATCTCGGTAACGAAGTCGAGATCAGTGGTGTATCCTTCGCGCAGGTTGATAGTCAAGGGCGGTACAACTGCAGTCCCCAACAGAGCATCGTTATACTCGGGCAATGACACTGCCACTTTGGTCTCCTCAGTCCCTATCGAATTGGCAATCCATGTAGTAGCCATGCCGATCCTCCTCACATGGTCGTTCTGCACACGAGAGCCATCAAGTCTGAATTTGGCCTGTATTCTTGCCTTAACGCCGTCGGTGGTGATGGAATCAAGAGACAGATTTGTAGGTTCCAGAACTGCTGCCTGTTGTGCGTACTCCTGCACAGCGTCTGGTACAATGAAAGCAAGTGCAATGATTGCCACCACTATAAGGCCGAGGATGCCCATGGCAATGGCGGATGGCCATCTCCGCGACTTCTGTTCGTTCGGTGGATGTGTCGATGGTGTTTGGCTGTGACGCGACCTGATAGACCCAGCAGTATTGGGGTCATCATGCTCTCCATCATATCTCGGTGTCTCAGCAGTGCTGGAGAGAAGCGGCGTTGTCTCTCCAGAATGGCGCTCTGCGCCCTTGTTCTTTGATGACGATGACGCCTCCGCCAGCAGCGGCGATCGTTCGTCGTCGGACATTGTAGGTCCGGAGGGAATGACGCAATGTCCGATCGTATATATTGAGATGATCAAGGGGAACTTATCACGATATGCATCTCCAAGCTGTGCTTGTCGATTTTCGCTAGAAGTTGGTGCGAGGTTGAGAGTTGGTATTTGGATTCTGGGCGGTCAAGACGGAATGCGACAACCTGGAAACGTTTCGGCGCCGTCATCAGAGGTAACGGTCATGGGATTGGGGCAATGCGATGAAGTGGCAGGCAGGCGGGCGGCTGAATTAGGGCGACGGAGGAGGGGCCCAGATCTGCGCCTAGCTGTACAAGGACTAGCGTGGTCCGGGGAAGAGGATGACCTCACTTTAGACCTACCTTCAGACGAGTACCATCCTAACTCTTGATACGCTTTTTGTACGCTTTGCCCGAATTCAGATCTGGCTATTTTACATATCTTTGTCGTCCCGGTGGTACCATGATTTTGTATATATCGTTGTGATCCACGCAAGATGAGCCATCAACGGTATCCATCCCTCGACCCCGTCAAGGAGCCGCATTCGGTCTCGTTAAAGGTGCTTCGGTACAGCCTCCCTCGCCTCCGCTCCCAATAGAGTCTTGCGCTCGTCTCGTTGACTGACCTTGCTCTACCTTCGTTTAAAGACTCTCCAGGCCGTCGTTGGTCACCCAGCATCCGCTCGCAAACAATATCCCCTCTCCCTCGGGCAGCGCCCGAACGATACCAGCCTCGCTCGCCTACCAGTCCACCAACGGTATCACAAATCCGGAACCGTTTCTCCTGACGCCGATCCTGAACCTGCCACCATCCTTCGGCTCCGCATATGTTGGCGAAACGTTTAGCTGTACGCTATGCGGCAACCATGATATTCCACCCGAGAATGCTGCGGTCCAAGATTCAGTACACAACTCCAAGAAAAAATGGATACGCGATGTACGTATCGAGGCTGAGATGAAGACACCAGGCTCTGGCACGGTCCAGAAACTCAAGCTAGGCCCTTTACCCGAACGGCCTGCACCTGCGGATGGCGAGGATCAGCCAGGAGCGGGTGAGGATAGTAGAAGCGGCACGGATCTCGAGCCCGGCCATACCCTGCAAAAGATTGTCAATTTCGATCTCAAAGAAGAGGGAAACCACGTCCTCGCTGTCACGGTTTCGTACTATGAAGCTACGGAGACGAGTGGGCGGACACGCACCTTTAGAAAACTCTACCAGTTCATTTGCAAGAGCAGCTTGATTGTGCGGACCAAGGTTGGCGTGCTGCCAGCTGCTGCATCGAGGGCTCAGAGCGATGAAGATAAGGAGAATCAGACTGGCCCGGCTGAAAATGACAAAACAGAAACAGAAGAGGCCAGGAAGGGCTGCAGAAAATGGGTCCTTGAGGCCCAGCTTGAGAACTGCTCGGAAGATGTGATGCAACTAGACCGGGTGCAACTCAACCTCGAGCCCGAGGCACCCTTGAGGTTTAGGGATGCCAATTGGGCAGTCAGTTCCAGCGCAAAGCCGGTACTGCATCCAAGTGAGGTTGAGCAAGTTTGTTTCTTGATCGAGGAAGACGGCCGCGAGGCGCCAGTCGATGAGCAAGACGGCAGGGTTCTCTTTGGCAAACTCGACATCGGCTGGAGGACCGAGATGGGCAATCGTGGATTCTTATCTACAGGCAAGCTAGGCGCAAAGGTGGCCAAATAAAGAGGACATTGCACCGTGACCAAAGCAAGGACCATTTCGAAGACGGCGACATTTTGATTGCCTTGGTGCATGGAATCCATGCGTATATACAACCAATCAGCACCATGTCATCTGACATGAAGGAAGGACCACCTTTGGAGAACTATGCACGGGACAGATTTGATGTAAGGTTACCGCCCGCTGTCATGGACGAGTGGGCACCATACCGCAGATCTCACATTAAGCTCGAGAGTACCGGTGCCAAGACACCTATAAGATTGTATGTGTGCCGCAATACTCTGGACTGCACAGATGACACATTGAGAAGGCAGGCTATGCGACAGGGTAAATATATAATAGAGTGGATATCCATTACAAGCTCTATTCGAAATGAACTGTCGCGGCTTCTGGTTCTGAAGAACGGCTGCCGCTGCTGCCGGTCATGATCGCATTCAATACCGCAAGCTAAAGGGGCACATTATGAGAAGTGACAACTACTGCCAATATCAAAACAATGTGATAGAGTCAATAGACATGGGTCCCGCAGAAATCAATCATACTTATTCGTGAATTGGTCACCAAGTTCTTTTTCAACAAGGTAAAGATCACGTACAATGTGACAAATCACAGGCGGCAGAAGGATGAGACACAGTGAACAAAAAGAACAGGAGCGGTCTATAAGTCTATTCAAGCAGACATTGGAAAAAGCAAGTCCCAGACATACGCACACACACCTTTTGATGGTGGTTGGGTGGGTGCTGCTTCATCTTGTTTATTATTCGATCACCTTTTTCCACCTCTCGCCACGACTAGATTGTAGAATAAGAATAGCTAAGCATATACTCCGCCCAAGTTTTTCTTCTTCTTCTTCTTTTTTTTTTTTTTCAATTTTTCTACATAACATCGACCTCTCAGGAATGTTTCTAGCTAACTAGCCATCAGAGGTTGAAATAAAATTACAATCTCGGAAAGGAGAAAAAGGAGACTTGCGTAAAGCTGTAGCTTGCCCAACTGAAGAAAAAGCCACCCGAAAGCTATACTTCAGCCCTCCTCAGCCTTTTTGTCGGCGAATTAGCCACGTGGTAGAGGAGAAAAGGTCCGGTCTTATTCTAGCATCTGTCTAATGGATCTGTAAATATAGCAACCAAGGGGTCGAAGCCATGGCCAAATTGACACCTGGGGCATGCTATTTGAGAAAAGGATACTATATATATGTCTTGAGTCATGTAGACCGTATTACTGGATAATGGTAAAATGAACCACAGTCATCACCTCGATCCGTAGCTGCCGAGAGACGTCGAGGCCCTATTTACTTTGGACTTTTTCCCATTCGCGTGTCGACGCGTTCCTGGGAGCTTCAAGCTTGAGCTTTGGCACATAGAGCTAGCAAGTCATGTCCTCCGGGGCTTATGTCATTAGGGTGTTGTAGTGTAGGCAACCTCATGTAGGCAGTACGGAATATGCCCCTCATTACTCTTCTCCTTACGTGTTTCAGTTGAGGCGTCAGACGAGTATCTGGTTGCGATGCTGGTCTCTGCTCTTATACTAAGCTTGGGCAGTTGTCGGAAGACGTTCCTGATCTGACGACGTCCACCCCGGCCCGACCAGCCAAAGCAGATCCGAAAATCAGAAAGACCCCTGCCTGATCTTACTACCTGTCAGTTCTCCCACCGACCATGAGGTTTTGTAAAATTGAAATTCAAGGTAGCGCTGTGGTAAGCACCAGACCGGCGTGTTCCTTAGTGTGCCACGCTGGAGGAAACAGGCGGAAGGAATACGTCCCGGGGGGCTTGATCTGCAATTCCCATGACTTGCAGGACGGGAACTAGTATCGCGATCTTGACTGAATTGGTGCAAGGCTACCGTAAAAGCGGATGGGAATATTTTCACACCCAGCAGAGGTGAGGGTGACATGCTGACCTAGTAGGAAGTAGCGCTGGACCGATGCGGCGCAACCTCAGTAAAGTGTTGGTTGCCTCATGCAGGCACGCAACCCTCCATTACGGTTAAGTTGACAGTAGTGCGACCAGCAAGCTGAGATTGGAAATCTGTACAGTGTACGAGTTAACTTGAGTGATGAGAAGTTGGGCAAGTAATGTAGACTCTGGAAAGCCTGAAGCACTGAAGCATGAGTGCATTAACGACGAAGCAGGCTAGCGTCGAACATAGAGTGCAATGAGACGTCAGTGGATCTCTATACAAACTGACCTGGGCAGCAATAGACAATTTCTACCTATAAAGTATAACGATGGTAATAAAAAAAAATGGATGGAAGCCATGATGCTGTATTACGGCACCTTGTCTTTCTGGCTCCAGAAACGATTGCCCAAGGACGCCTCCAGCCCCAAAGGATGAGTTGACAGGCGCATGCTGCTCGCTGACGTTGCTTGTGTGACGGGTTATGGGTGCATGCAGTGGCTTTGACAACGTGTCGGGCTTACACTGCGCGTGCCCGCCTTGGGCAATGCTGCAAAGCTCGCTTTCTCAGTCTCGAATTCATCCAAACGAGAGAAGCTGAAACACAACGCAACCTTCGCCAAAGCAAAAATATGCAATGGTGCCAATCGGCTGTCGCCACCACACAGGGTCTCGTGCGAATCCGAAGTGATAACACCCTCCAGCGGCTGAAAATAGTTAATATAGGTAAAAACAAAGTTGTCCAACCAATGCTGGAAGATATTTGATTTGGGTTGTAGACAGCTTGTCGTGATTTCGGTCAGCGTCGTGTCATTGACCGCCGGGAGTATTCTATTGAAGCAATCAAGCAATGAATCATTTCGTTGTCAACATGATCGAATTGTGCCAGATCGTGATATGCTCCATGGGTATCTGCTAAGAACGGGGATTCAGGGTGGCACAGGCAAAAGAGACGGGAATAGAGAATAAGTAAAGATACAAGATGCCGTCGTGGGGTCTGTGCTTGACGGGCTTTGTAAAAGAGATTTATACTGATAGGCACATATGCCCACTACCGAGGCGACGCGATGTCACCTCATGGCAGAGACTCAAAGAATACAAAGTACGAAATAGTAATCCCACAACACGAGCAGCACAAACGCACTGAGCGCAAGGTTTACCGATAGTTTTGGGCGGTCTTTAGGGGGGCTAAACTTCAGAGGAGTATAAAACTCGGGCCCATGTATGGTGCGTGAGATATTGACTATCTCGTACCATGGATACAAATCATGGAAAATTGAGCCACCATCTGATGATATGCATAGAAGTTTACACAGGAGGCCGGCAGTCCATATTTTGATCTGCCCTTGTGCAAGCGGTGGATGGTTTGATAGATTTGATGGAATATTTGCTTGCTTAGGATATAGCAACGAATCGGTTCACGGCGTAATGATCATGTCCGAAAAAAAGGGGACTGATGCAAAGAACCATCGGGTAATTTTTGAAAGCGCGAAGCATCTGTCCAAGTACACTATACTGTGGTGTGTTGCATACCATGTAGAGTATGCATGTTGATGCTAGAGTGTTGTAGAAGGACTGAAGGACAGTGCGATTGGGCAATCAGGGGAATACTGTACGTGGAGAATCATTGAATGACGACTACAGGTCTCCATCTTTTTTCTTCCATCTTGCTCCATCTCCCCTGGTGAGTAAGAAGACGCTTGAGTTGAAGATTTTAGTCTAAAAGATGAGCGGTCGGTACGGTGGAGATGAGATGCCTCGGTGCAGCGCGGTTGTACGAGGGGGGAGAGAAAATACTGCAGCCGAAGTCCGTACGCCGGTGCGTTGACCAAATCCTCGGCTGCAAATCTGCAAGAAGCCTAGATCAATCATGGACACGGGATATCTCAGCGATGAATTAACTGCTGGCACAAATGTGTGCAGTGTGCGTGCAGGCATAAGAACAGACGTTAATAGTATCTACGTTCACCGTCGTGCAAAGGCCGCCGTGAGGGTTGAGAGGGGGACCAGGCGTCCAAAAGGAGCAGCCAAGACGACCCTGGATTGATGTGAGCGCACAAATCAAGGGACTCACAGAGATCATCCCTGGCTTTAACCCTTCGTGGGCTGCCCACCCCCTAGTTGGGTGTCCTCCCTACGTAGGACGACTGTGGTGCGGTTAGCGGCGATGTGGATTCAACCATGGATGCTCTCACTCGTCCCCGCTACCAGGTTGCCGCATTGTCCCAAGGAACCAATGCGCGCATGCGTTGTGAAATACGGAGTGTGGTCGAGATGCGATCCAGACCAGGAGGTTTTGGTGCCCCGTGAATCCGACCGAGTCTCGAAGAGGCTGAGGCTCATTGTTCATTTTTGGGGTACGGCTCTTTTTTGGGGAATACTTCAGTACTACCTAGTAGATACTGTGTGCTTCGTACTTGTATGAGAGATATTGTAGCCCAAGCTGCATACAACCGAACTCACACTCTGCATTTCGAGAATTGTGAGAGATGAAGGGGTTGCCGATCGTACTAATTGGATGATCACAAGAGGGAATAAAAAAACCTTCAGTCAGCTTGCGTGGGTTTTGAGAGAATGGACTGATCAGGTAGGTACAGTATTCACCATAACTTTTGCCTACCTGCACTACGTACATGGCTGGGTCCCGTAGTGCAGGATAGGTACATGTGCCGCAGCCGGTAGGACCAAAAAAAAATATGCAGAGTGCCAGGTCCTCCATATCGAGGTGGGCAAGAGGTAAAGAGGGGGCACCTTTGGGGGGCGCCCACGCACACGCCATGTCCAGTGAGGTCCAGCAACCCCGGTCGACATCGAGCGGCCATCAGGCATTAGCAGTGCCCATCGTTCAAATCGCCAGTTCCGTTTTCCTAGTACGGCCATGGGCTTCCATGTCTAAACGATTTTAGTGCAACTGTAGGTAGGGGTTTGCTTTGGGGATTTCGAATACGTATTCCCGCACGATACGTAGCTTAGCGTACAGAAGAGAAGTTAGATGTAGGGAGGGGTGAAGAAGACGAAGAAGAAGGAAGAGAGTGTTCGTTCACATTTGGATCGATCGTTGGCTGCCACTGGGCCATGTTCTAAATAGGTTGGTCATAACTACCAGTAAAAAGTACGTAGGTGGTGTGGCTTTGTAAATATCTCTCTCCGTATTCTCTTCTTCCTGTTTGTTGAATCGCTCGTTTGACTGGCCCAATTGAGCAAGGTTGTCAAACTACCTCATCTGCCTTTCTGCTCTCCTTCCCTTTTCCATACGAATAAACACACAAGAACCTCGAGAGGGCTTTGGAATGACTGTTGTGTCCATGCAACGTCAATGTGTGCATCTTCAACGCCCTTGATATGCACGGAGACTCGGTCGAATAACCCCGCGACAAGAAACACATCCTTTCCCCCCTCTTCCCAGAAGAAGCCAACCGACTTTGCATCACATACCTAAAGAGAGGGAGAAAAAAAAAAGAGATACACCCACGCACTTGAGACCACTCACGGAGCTGCATGCCTGAACTTGCATTAGAAGCTGCATGAAGGCCCCTTATCACTGATCTGCCCTGAACCAACCGACGCCCAAGAAGCCGCCGCCGAAAAGCAGCACTGTTTGGGCGCCTGCCGGATCTAAACTCTAACAGGCCCGGAACCCAAGAGAGGAAGAGAGGTGGAAAGAGAGAAAAAAAAATTCCCCAAGAGTGCCAAAAAAGACGTCTGCCAAACGCGCCAACGGTACGATCTCGCTTACTCGTTCGCTCGAGCTCATAGCTCCAACAACTTCAAGCAACCCCCAAGCAACCAGCTGCAGCTTTGCTGGTGCGGGTCAGCGCAACACACACAAGTCACAGACCGTATAACCTCGTCTGACTTGGCCCTGGCAACCCGGGAGCCACCCGACTTTGAAGCGATTGATTGCATTGGCTTTCCTGGAATTCATACTCCTCTCGCTGTGTCGTGGAAAGCATCACTTACTTGTCTTGTTCCTCGTTTGTCCCTTGGATCTTTTTTCCTCCTTTCCATTGCGCGCCCGCTGCAGCGAAGTCTTTTCCTGAATTGTATTTGCTTCTTCCCAAGAAGCCCGTTTTCGCAGCACCAGCGACGCGACTACTATTACACGCCTAAGACGCACAGCTACCTTGCCAGCTTCCGTTGAGCGAGATCCTGCAGACCGCCCTCGCCAATTGTTCTGGACAAGAACAACAACAGTCATTGCTCTGATACCTGGCAAATCCAATTTCTGATTCGAAAGTTTCCATACTCCCTCTGCACACAACGGAAAACTGTGTGCTAGAACCTAGTTTCTTCCGACCGCTACGCGGCTTCACCTTGCGATATCGTTTCACTGTACCAAAGCTTGGTCCTGCAGTCGAGGGGCAGGAAACGCCCTCGATCTGATGTGGCATGGATAACGCTTCGGCTCCACTCGCCGACTACTTCTGGATTGCAGGCATTCAACACATTTCTTACCAGGACTTTCCCACCCTAATCCCACAAACCCACGTGGAGACAACTATAGAAGAAGATGGCGAGCCTGAAGAGGAGGAACAGGAGGCGCTGAATCGCGACTCAATTATTAGCACGCCCTCCAAAGGCGCTGCCCGTCATTCCCGCCAAAACTCCGGCAACCGACTGTCGAGGGCATCGCTCAAGACTCTGGAAGAGAATGATGGTAACACGGTCAGTAACAGAAGCAGTGCCACCATCCGGGTTGGCTCGCCTCCTCCTAGCGGCAATGGCAATGCGACGCTCCTGGAAGGCATGCCTGCCTTCCTGGCCGATTTCGATTTTGACGAGGCACTCTTTAAGTTTGCAGCCGAGAGGGAACATTTTTTGGAAGACCTGAGTTTCTCAGCAGGTGCCAAGACGCAGGCCAGACCGCCGATGGTCAACCCAAGAACCGAGAGAATCAAGGCAGACGAATCAAGTGGTAGAATGAGCCCTCTGAAGAGTCTGCGAGGCAGTATCAGGGGCAGCATAAGGCGCAAGATCAGCTTCAAGGACATGAACAGCGTACGGAAACAGCCAACACCTGCAAAAGCCGGTATGTCTTGCCTTGGTATTTTTTTGCACAGTCCTGTTTCTGAATTTGCCCGTTGCGACATTGCTCATATGCATTTTCAAAGTGCACGCTTGGACCTGATCACATACTGACTTCTGCAAATAGCTTCGGTTCGTACGTCTAAGAGACTAAGCAACTACAATGCTGTCATTCCACCTCCCGAACCTCTCAATCTGGACCCAGACATGCACCCGCTGAAGCGACGCTTCGAGCCCGAATTGCTGGACCGATACCCACCACGGAATGCAAACGAAGATCTGGCCAAGCGGGGACGTTTCCCGGACTACGTGCCCATGTTCGCCTTTCCCAACGACATCCAGATAGTATCCTCAGACGACCGGCCCAGATCTACATGGCACGGCTTTACCATGACTTCTGATGACAACTCTAAGATATATGGCATTACGGTCATAGTTTGGACCGCCGTGGCTGCGGATGTTGCCGAGGATATAGAACACAGATGTGAACGATGGAGACAGAGCCACATGAGTGGCGAGGAAAGAGAACTGGCTGCAAGTCTTGGCTCAAGACTTGCTGCAGAAAGAGCACACCTGTCGCAACTGCTCGCTAAACTGCCCACCGTACCCTCTGGCTCTACCGCACGAGAGAGACTGGATGACCAGATCAGCACTGTGGAGGAAAAAATCACCCTCATGACTGAAATGTTGAGGCCTTTGAGGCATGGAGCAGCATCTAAGATTGATGGACTGACAGCTGGTGAAAGTGGACTTTGGATCCCGCGGGCATTTGGTGTTCTTGGAAGAGATGCCACCCGCATCACCTTCTGGAAAGACTGGTTGAGAGCTGTGGTAGTGCCCATGTCCGACGGGAGTATTCTGCGTGTTCCACCTACCTCTCCCAGGATAGGACGTTGGCAGCCTCTCGAGCGATATGTCGTCAACCTCTGCGCAGAGGCGCCCAGCCCACTCAGCTCCAAAACACAGGTCGAGATTAGTGTCCGGGAGCTGCGTCTATATGCTCGGAAGGAAGCTGAGAATGAGCTGCCCGGATCTAGAAACGTCGACTTGTATGCTCTATTCCGGTCTTTGTCGCTGGAAAACGTGGTCGCTCTTTTTGAGTACGCTCTTTCGGAATCGCGAATCATTTTCTTGTCCTCACATACCGCCATGTTGCACCTGGCCTGCCATGCTCTTGCCAACCTTCTTTACCCCCTGAAATGGGCCAGCATATTCATTCCCATCCTCCCGGCAAGGTTACTGTCGGCTCTGGACGCGCCTTGCCCTTACATTGTCGGAATTGAGAGAAGATACGAGAATCTTGTGTTGCCTGACGATGACTACGTCCTGGTCGACCTCGACAGGGATACTATTGATGCAACGTCGCAGCCTCATCGCCTGCCCAAGCAACACCGCCGCAAATTGATGTCACTCCTGCAAGTAGCTGCTCCTCACGCTCTGCGTTTTGGTGTCACCGCTGGACCTCCTCCCTATGCGATCGAGTCCTTCCCATACGACTCCTTCTCGGCCGAATTCTCCTCTGTATTCACAGAAAAGACGAGCTCAAGCTCATTGGGCAAATGGGTGGCCCAAAACTCTTCAACTTTTGGTGAGCCCGATATAATTGGCGTGCCACCTGCTCCCATCTTCAACACCTTCTCGCACGCAAAGCCCGGCACTGCAGACCGTCCTACTACAAGCAAGTCAAACAAGACTAGCCCGCCCAACTCCCTATCCCCAAGCTCCGTCCATTTCCCGCCAATGCCTGGAACACCCATCTCCCGGAGTGATTCCGGCTACGCTTTAAACGCCACCTTGCGTGAGAAGCGCTCTGGCACGTTTGACAAGGAGAGAAGGAGTTCCTCCTTTGGACAACAACCCAGTTTCAACCGACCCAATGCACCTTTCTTGAACGGACATCAGGCAAATATGTCACTGTCGGCCATTTCTATAGATTCGAAATCGTCTTATGGTGGCTATGCCCCTTCGACCTATGCTCAATCAACCTTGGCAGCATCAACCATAATGCCAAACATGCTGATTCAGCCAGTCAAGAACACTGAATCGACGGTGTGGGTTGAGGGCCATAACTTCAACTTTGCCAGCAATGATCATGTATCGATCTGTTCCGTCTGTGATGAGCGTGCTGAGGGTGATGGCATTTATAAGTGTTCTGGCTGCTCATCGGTCTCTCATGGACGTTGCCTGGGATGTGTCTGCTTGGTCTGCCCCGTCGCCTTCAGTGCCGACAAGGTCCGTGCTAGCTTTGTCCGCTGCCTCGCCAGTATGTTCTACACCTATCGAAGATATATGGGACGGCCATCAAAGGATCAAAAGAAGGCTGGGCAAATGTATGCCTTTGACATGAATGGTTTCATTAAAAGCTTGCCATACGATCAGCAAGATTACGTGAACATGCTGAAGGAGACGCAAGGTGAGCCTCGAGTCGATCATTACCATGGGATGTTTTACTGACATTGTGCCTTTAGCATTTAACGAGTTCATTCATGAACGAGAGACGCAGCCAGGCTCTACGCCTGCTATACGCCTGTTCGATGAGATCATCCTCGCAAAGAAAGCTCGTGGTAAGACAGGCCTGTCTGGCCTGTCCAGGCTGTCTACGATTAGAGCGTCTCATGGAGTTTCGCAATCTATGCCGGGCATCCAGATACCCTCAAAGCCGGGCAAGTCGCAGGGCTGGTTGAACGACACAGAAGACCACCTATGGAGGACGGCATCAGTGCCGGTACCCAACGCAAAGTTTCCAGGCGACTATCACGAAGTCGTCACACGAGTACCTGTCAAGTTTGACAGCTCTTTGATGAAGGAGCCCCGTGCCATAGCAGGAGTTCCACGGGCAGAGCCACGCAAGAAGGGATTTTTGCGGAAACAAGTTCCTAGCATGATGCTTGGTTCGACACCGATATCTCCCGTCTCGCCTGATGGCTCTGGCTAACTCCACTGCTGTCGGCTGGATAGACAAAATTGAAGTAAATCAGAATATCTGCATCAATTGGTACATGGTTACATGAGAAAACTCATCATCATAGCGAAGCGATTCTTGTATTATAGTTCAGCATTTTCGGTGAGTTCGGCTGTGAATAATCAGCCTCTTGGGGAAGTGAGGGAAGTGCAGGTCGAACATGAGGACAGGCCAATTCCTTCCAACCAAGACACGATCTAGCCATCACAGTGAGCCAAATTCATTTCCCGTGAGGGTATGCCGTCGTCATATTGCAGCCAAGGAGAAAATTTGGAGGGAATGAATAGAGGCTGGAAAGACTGGGCGAACGAGAATTGAATATGAGAGCTAGAGTGCCTACGATACTTAGACGATACGCATTCATCTATCTAAAGTCGATCAAGCTCGGTTGCATATGAGATAGAACAACATTATTACGTTTTCATGATCAGTGCCCCAAAAATGACAACCGTAAATTAAACTCCACTGTCATGCTTTATGGGTATCATACTCGTCGTCACGTACATACATGCCAGCTGAAGAATTGACAGCCGCTGCCTGTGCCTATTCTAAAAGAAGCCTGCGCTTATGCTCAATGACAGGAATAAACCCAGGTGATTAGGAAGGCTTGTCCCTCCCATTAGGTCCATTGCTACCAGCGCCATCGCCAGGCTTGGGCCTTGGTTTTGGCTGCTTCTCGTATGCGTTCGGGCTCGGTCTCCTTCTCCTCCTGCCACTACTACCTCCATTGCGACGACCTTTGTGGTGATGCGAGCAGCCCTCCCCGTGCTCGTGATCGTGTCCATGTCCTCCCCCGGCCCGACCGACCCTTCTCCTGCCACTGCCTGCATCCGAGTCGCTGTCCGAACTGCTGCTGCTATCATCGCTGTCGTCTGAGGAAGACTCGGAGCTCGACTCGCCCACGGCCCGGGGCGCGTGGTAGATGCAGCACACCTTGGACGACTTGCGGCCAAGCCCTTCATTGTCGACGACGTTTTCGGCCCACTGCACGCGCGGGCCCGAGGGGGCGTGGGCGCCGCGGAGGCGGAGAATGGGCGGTTGCGGTTGGGATGGTGGTTGTTGGGTCGCTGGGGAGGAGGTGGAGGACTCGCCGCCCGTTGTCGAGGTGGTCGTTTGTGTTTGGGATCCCGACGTGGCGGTGCCTTGTTGGCGGAGTTGGGTTTGTGGCTGAGGGCCGCTCATTGTGCCCCGTGTTTGTGCGAGGGAGAGTGTGAAGATGGAAAAGTCTTGCAGAGTAGCTGCTTGTCGGAGAGATTGGAGACGTCTTTTGTTGTTGCACTGGGCTTGGTGTTTGGTGTTTGTCGAGGTTGTGTTTATAAGCAGATTGCCCGCGTGCGCCGCGCTCCAAGTGGCAATGTGCTGTAAAGCCGCGGATGCTGTGGTTCGTGTGCGGTGAAAGAAGGTGAATGACCCCAACGACTGCCTCGTGTATTTTATTCTTCCTCGTTTGCAAGGGGACAGAAAATCACAGGTGTGAGTAGAAGAGCGCAGTTGAGAATGGTCTTAGATATGACGATTGTTGGTTCCAGATGTTGGGCGGAATTGATGCCCCGCGACTTACTTTTTTGGAGGGGCTCGGGTCGCTCCGTAGTACATCTACCGGCGGTGTGGATCAGCCCAACCTTCAAAACTACCTACATACACATCTTTGTCGCAATGATGCCTCTTCAGCCCATGTGCGTCTCTGATTTTGTTTTCTCACACAGTTCACTGTTCTTCTTGAATGACCGTACTTATTGGTTTCCATTGTAAATTGCCACTTGCCATTGACACTACTTTATACAGGCTAGTGCTTGCATAGTATAAATCCCAGGTAATTGAACCTCCCTCTCCCAACTCTTACTACAAGATGGCCAGTTTACAGGCCCGGCATCACATTCCGCGGGAATGTAGCATTCATTGCCGTACAGCTCACAAGGGAGCACTGCTGGGAGCTCAACTTTCTCACTGCCAATATTCTCTGCTTCCGGGGGTCTTTGCGCATCCAGCATCTCATGAGGACCCGGAGAGGAGACGCATTCAGAGTGCAGCTGTACCCTTCCATTGGGCCATTCGTTCTGCTGCGTTTTCTCCTTGAGCGCTTTCTCTTTTTTCTCTTCGATGCGCCCTTTACGTATGAGAAACATCAAGACCACAGCCACTGATATAGACATCGCGCACGTTATGGTGATTGTGGCTATGATGGTTGTGGTTGATTGCGAGGTGCTGCTACGAACCGCATCGTCTCGAGGGTATATCCTCGCAGATGCTGAATGGGACAACCAGTGCGGTTCCCTGTTGATGTACATTGTTGATTGATCTGTCGCATGCTGTTAGATAACCTCGGCAACTATGTAAGCTCCTCATACTTACCAAGTCACTTCAGGGACAATTACAACATCTGTGTTTCCCACTTTGGTCTTCTTCGAATTATGCCTCAGGCCATTCTGGTGGATCAAATTCGAGCTGTGGAAATGAGACACTGGACGTAGAATAATAATTCCAATGGTTGGTCGAATAACACAAGACGAACCATTGATAGGTATGGAAAAGTCCAGACATGCTTATTATAGCATTCTTACAGTCCCCCGACCTGCAGTCGCTTTTTACTGAACCATGGACTCTAACGATATGCTGCTAGAAGCGTTACATGGTCACATCCTACTGGTGGCGATGCTAGGCTGTAGCATTAATTAAACCGGCCTATGGTCAGCTATCAATCATTCCCGGCCCCTGAATGCGGATGGACAAGGCAGGTGAGCAAGGGTCAATCGGTCGCCATTTACCAGGATGAGGATGCTTACATACGGCTGTGCCTCGTCGCAGATGACATCCAAGATGGCACGCACAATTGCTCTCAGCCCTACAAGTAATGGCGATCTGCAATGTCATTGGCTCAGGCGTTGTGCTGATTATATCTTAGGTTCTCTCCCGGCTCCAATTGTCGTGCTCACGCTGCATATAGGATTGTCACCCTGCCTCAAAATGTTGACCCTGTTATCCTCATCTCGTGGGCCTTCCCTTTTTTGGATATGCTAATCAAGATGACTGATACCACCCACCTCACCTTGGCATTCACCGAGAATATTGTCCACTCAACGGCTTGAACGGTCCTCCACGAATTATTCACGATCTGTTACCCTATACAGGGGACAAAAGCTGGAAAGTGGGAGAGAAATTGTGATAATGCTACGTTATTTCGCCCACATAATATGTCAATATTATGTCGCAAGCACCTGCAAAAGTCGACCGGCTCCTTCGCCCCCAAACGTACCCTGCGGGATCAGCCGCCCAATCGTAAAGTCATGTTGGCAAACCCATCTGGTAGACTATTATATATCCTGGTTTCAATGAGGATCCGGTACGGTGCCGAGAGCTCGTCTAATAGGCAGACAATTCGTATATTCTGCTGCCGGATCCTACAGTGCTACCCTGGTGATCCTTGGTGAACGCAACTCCGGGAAGCCGGGAGTTGCAGAGCACACATCGACGGCCCATCCAACTCAATGGAAAGCCGCATATGGCGCAGTCGAAAAGCGAGTCTGCGGCAACCCTTTTCTTTTTCCTGCATAGACGCGATAGTCTTGCGGAAATCCCGAGCCAAGAATCATTCTTCCGTTGCCCCGGTCCTAATTAGATGCTTTCATGGAATTGCATGTCTTAGATCGTGCGTTTCTATCAACGACCATGAAAGATTCTGTGCATGAGGTATTTGGGGGGCGATGTTGGTGAGAGCTCCATCGAGGTAGATACCGTTGTACACCAATTGAAAAGACCATGGACTCAGAAGCGAAGAGTCAAAATTAACCAAACGACTTTTGTCAGTAACCAGTCGAAGCTTTGTGGGATCCGGGTTATCACGGTAGTTGGGGAAAAAAAGAAAAAAAGAGAAAACCCAGAGAGAGAAACAGAGAAAAAAAAAAAAAACGACCAGAGCCTTTCGACCACAACAATTAAATGAAAAATTTCTATAGACCCCATGCATTGGCAATTTTCCAATCATATTACCTGCTTGCCTTTCGTTAATGCTCTGCAACAAAAGCTTTGCGGAACAAATCAATAAAATTCAAGTTGACTGTACACTAGAATGGCAGTGGTATCGCTGCTGCATTCTGCCAGTATTGCATCATGGTTGTTTTCAAATTGCGCAGATGCTACGTGCTAAAGAAACAAAAATGGTCATTGCAAGGCTGAACACGAGACATCAACGAGAACTTTTCCATTCCCCAACGCCACGCCTCACATTTCCAGTTGAACAGCGGCCAACAGTATCCATTTCTACAATGTCGCTGTTATGGAAGCGAAGAATAAATGGCAATGTTATTAGACAACCAGAGTCTTGTCGCTACTGGCCACGACATTGGTCAATAGATACCCGTTTGTACACAACAAGCTCCATGTTGTCTTGATTTGACTCCTGAACACCGAGCTTTACTTACTTGCCCTCGCGCGAGGAGCCTGCTTAAACATTTAATTGTCTTCGTGATGATACCACGGACTCTTGACCGCAAACATCAGGAAACCAATGACAGCCCTGATGCATTCTAGAGAGCCAACCTACAGGCTGTTGAACAGAATTGGAATTCCGGCTGACAAGAGGCGGGGAGTTTCGACAATGAGAGTGTTTGGGAGAGTGACGGCTTCATTCTATTGGAACTAGTCCTCCCTAACATGTATGCCCTGTGAAGACAGTCGCAAAAGAGAACAAGCTGTTCAGTTGGATGTTTCTTTGTGTTTGCACAACCAAAGTCTTTACGAGTAGCATGCATTGCTCCAAGAATATCTAACATGTTTGACATTCTGAAATATTGTTGTGAAGCTCATGTTGTGCAAGTGAACCAGGCCATGATTAATGGTTAACCGCGATGAAGTTGACATGATAGCCTCGTTGGTGTATCTGTCCGATACTTCCAGTTTCGAAGCAAACAGATCTTTGTTGGTTGAATTGCAAGACGATCTCTTGTAGATGTACTTTCGTCACCTTTAGATTTGAGCAAACGCGCTGCTCAACACCAGATAAAAGCATGACGCGCTTTTCCATCCCACTTCACGTCCACACAGCAACGAACGACGTTTGCTGCATTCAATCGTCAAGCCTAGCACTCTTTCAATCTGTTCCTGCAAACCACAAATCCTTTTGTCGACACCTTCCCTCTCCCTTTGCCCTCCAACTTGCCATCTTCGAGCAATTCAGAAGCTGCCTTTCCATCGACACAAACATCTTCAGGCAACAGCTGCACCATCAAGCACACCAACCCCTCAACGGTGCTCACGATGTCTTCACCCGGAAACGAGTCTGCTGTCGGCGACACAGCCGATACTCCTGCCGCCAGCACCAGCCGCGGACGCGACCGTCCGCTCAACCCGAGGCTGCGACCACAGCGATTACACCATAAGGTCAATAATGCCATGAAGGTCGTCGACAAGAAGCTGGACGACAAGAACGCCACAGCCCTGAGCGACTGGCTCTCCGCTGAGGAGATGGTACAATTCCGCCGTACCGTCCGCGAGATTGTTCGCCGAGAGTAGTAAGTACGCCCTGTCCCATTCTCCTTGACCTTGCTAATGTGCAATCCATCAGCAATGCCACATTTGACAGCTGGCCCAAACGCGTGGTCCACAACTACGTCCCCGATGCACGAAAGGCTATCATCGATGCCATCAACGAGAGCTGGGCCATGTTTGACGCCGCCAGGGTTGCAAAAGATGAGCAGTACGACGATTTCGTCGCGGCGGATCTCCTTTTTCCGAAGTTTTACACAGAGTAAAGATGACGGTCACAAGTCCTCGGCCGCACAAAGAATTTTGCAATACTTTCTGGAATACAATGGCGCGGGGAACATCAAAGGCGTCTTTTCTGAAGCTAGACAAAAGTAGATACGTAAAGTGGGTGGTAAAAGAAGCCCCCGTGGTGTCTAGCACGTGACAAGATGAAATAAATATTATTTAATACGCCGTGAAATTATCCATCAACCCTCCATGGGAATGCCGCGGGGATATCTGGCTCCTATAACTTCGAACTTGCTCAGAATAGAATCCAACTCTGCTAGATCCTCATCGGTAAGCTCAAGCACCTTGGCGTTCTCGTCCACTCTGTCAGCGGTGATTGCTCCTGGAATAGGGATGACTGACGTGCCAGCTCTCTTGGCACATGCTCGCGTCCAGTTTATGGCCAATTGCGACGGCTTGCAGTCCTTCTTCTGCGCAATTGACTCGACCTGCTTCACCAGTTCAAGGTTGATGGGGAACGCATCGGGCTGGAAGCGTGGGTAGTGGTGTATGTATCTGTCGACTGGCACGTCCTCTAGTGACTTGATCTGACCGGTGAGGATTCCATTGCCCAAGGGTGAGTACGCGACGATGGGAATACCATACTGGGCGCAAGCTGCCGCAACACCATTTTCCAAGATATCGGTGCTCCATCTGTAGGGTTATTAGTATATCTCACAACGTAGACTCTTCGTATCTGCCTACAGGGAGAGTTCAACCTCGCAAGCCACAATTTTAGTAATCTTGGCCGCTTCATGGACAGTTGAGGCCTTAACTTCAGACAAGGAGATTCCACCAATCTTGCCCGTCTGGACATACTCCTTCTCGAGGACGCCAAAGGTCACCTCTAATGGCGTGTTGTGATCTCGTCGTGCACACTCAAATATGTCAATCTTCTTGCGGCCCTTCAACAGCGCCAGGCAGTTGTCTAGCGACTGGCGGATCCCCTCAGGGGACCCATCCGGGCCTTTGACAGGGCCATATCCACCCTTGATAGAAAGAACCACCTTGCCGGCATCCTCGGGATACTTCTCAAAGTAGCGCTCGAGGAGGTGCAGGGAGTTGTACTCGGGCGTGCCGTAGAACTCGCCCCCGTTCCAGAAATTCATGCCATTCTTCAGCGCGGCCCGCATGGCCGCGAAAGCTTGCTCTTGCGAGCACGAGTTGGTACGCGACGTGAAGCCTGATCAGCGAGATTAGCTCCAGAGCAAAGAGGTTTGTGGTTCCGTGTAAAACTCACCCATTAGACCAAAGCCGATGGGTCCCACTTCTTTGCCGACGAGCTGAGGCATCGTGTCTTCTGGTGGGTGATGTGAATATTCTAGAGGGTATTTGGAGTAGGCTGAAGCTGCGCGGCAATCAACTTGACTATCTGTGTTCTCGCTTGGTTGTGTCTGTCTTTGTTATCAAGCGTTCTTCCCAACATGAAGGCATCACACGCCTTTATACCTGTTTCCTTACAAGGCTACTACTGGCCATAGTGTGTATAGCATTATCGAAGCTTGGCGGCGTCCACGGGTGGAGTAATCGTCTTAAGGCCGGCACTCCGCACACAGTGATTGGTGCACTTGATTACAACCCTGCTTATCCCAAATCGGGCTATTCACACCACTCGGCTTTCCTAAAATCCAACTTTGCAAACCCGATGGTATAAGCTTGGCTGACTGACCAATCACTCAGAATCAGTGGACATCAAAGTAGCTTTATTTACACTATGCAATCTGATTTACACCCTTTTTTAGCCGCATGAGCAACAGACATCAGCGTTAATTTAATGGAAGCTATACAATCGTACATTTGTACATGTCCCTCGTTCAAGGATAGCACTAACGTTATAATGCTCGTTCTGCTTATGAGGATCCGAAACTTCTTTTTGAGCCTTTATTTATCAACGCCTCACGTATTTGAATCAATTATTTTATGCATTGCCGCTTTGGACATTTTGTTCATGGCAGAAAAGCGTGAATGCCGAGAAGAAGAGGTATGTACCTAATCTCTCTAACCAGCGGACTTTACGGACATAGTGGGGGACGGAATGCTTGAAACCTGCGGCAGCGGTTTTAAGTATAATGGGAGCTTTCATATTCCGACGCTAGGCTGGGAAAAGCATCCGTATGATAGGAGCTCCCAAGTATCTCTTCGATAGCCAGTTCAAGCTTGGTTATGCCCCTATGTTGTTGTTGTTGTTGTTGTTGTCATTCACTTAAAACTGCCTGGTGCTCTTTGTACCAAGCTGTTGCATTGACGTAGTCAGTACCCACCGCAAATCACTTGTTCGTGTATGTTGGATAGTTCTTCAGCACCTCTTGTTTGTATATTATAGGAACAACTCAGATATATTCCAGAGGCTCCTGATGTCACAATTCCCCTCACACATTGACTCAGATGAGAGTTTTTGAGAATTTAGGCTCATATCGATGAAATTACCAATATTTTGTTATTAGGCATGTTCTACACGAGGTGATGAGTTCTAGAAGTCAGATTGTGATCATAAATTTTCAGCTCTCGTAAAATATTATCTATATACCACCGTTTCAATGATTCACTGCATTATACTCAAATGGAACACCAACACTTCTATCAGCCGTGCCCCTTCTGTGGGCCCTCCTCTGGTACCTCTGCAATTGATCCTCCCAGTCGTCTCCAACATAATTCATGATGAATGAATCAGCATCTGTCACGGCGACCGGGAAGGCATGCACAGCGAGACCGTCCTCAGCGGACTCAAACCGACGAACGAGGAGGAGGGTGTTCTCGTCGCGGCAGTGCTTGTCGACTGCACAGAAGAACTCCTTCTGCCAAGCAATGTTTAGGTCGTGTGGCAAGTCACGGATCCATTTGGCGCATTCGTGAAGGTCTTTGCCTGTGAATGGTGAAGTGAATGGCTCAGGCACTACATCCGGTGTTGTACCGGAAATGATCGACTCGCGCATTTCGTCACTACCCTCGCGGATGGGAACATAACGCTTAACAGGGATTGTAGCATTGTTGGTTGCAGTAACCAGCGTGAAATTATTGCAGCCGCCACTGCCTGGAGCCGATGCAAGTTCGCTGAGAAGCGTCTTGAGGTACTGCGTAATTGGATCAGTAATGGCCAAGTCTGGATGCGAAGCTATTCGAACGCACCTGGCTGTCGTTGTCCTTGGACAAGACGAAGAGTGGATATGGCGACAATGGCCCAGACATGTGTTGTTGAGGATTGAGTGAACCAGACTGACACAGTGTGTTGAAATGAGGTGGCTGGGGGCGAACCACACTGTGGCTGTATATAGCAGAAGCCTTCACCCGTCCTTCTAGTTTAGTATTGCTGGTCAATCTAACGAACATTGAACATACCTTTGACCAAGTATGCTGGATTGTTGATTGAAAATGGATGGCATGGATGAAGTGAAAGCTTTAGGTTTTGAGTGAATTCCCAGTGTCTACTATGGGGGGAACCCCTGGTTCTGGACAATGGTTGTTGGAGCCAACAGGCTGACAATCATTGTTGCATTTCAGCCGTCACCAGCTGGGAACTCTCGCTTATTAGACTCGTCTTTGCCAGCTGCGTTGGACTTAAAGGGGAAATATCCATCATTAATGAGCCGCTGTATATGGTTGCTAAACTTGCCACGAGAATCGACATAATAAAAGAGTCTGTAGAATGGCTTCACCATCCAGATGGATTTCACTTCGTACACCAGGTGACGGCAAATAGATCTATATTCAACGTGCAGTACAAAGGGAATACTTCCCTTCGTACGATGGTCTGTAGATAACGCCTTCCGGCGTTCGGATGTTAGCAGCCGTCAGCCACAGTGTGGCTGTGGTGGCTAGTCCTCCAGTCTCTACTACCTATCTAGATACCGTCTTCGTACGAGACCATATATCCCATTATTCTAACAGAGTCTGTATTATATAATATAATATAGCTTGATTAATGTAGGTGGGAGATCTTTATTGGCAGTGATACAACTATGAAAATATTTGCTAAGGCTGGCACTATGCTAGCCATTGAGTGACTGCGTACTGAAACAAAAAGCTAATAAGCCGGATAGAATTTTTCAGGATAGCCAATGCTATATCTCGAATGTTGGCCGTGGTTACCTTTTTGATGGATGATACGCTTTGCCGCCTGCGTTAAACTCTCGACTTTTGATTGACAATATTCACTGGGATTTGATTTTCGACCGCCCATATCTCGAACCATTGGTGTTCGACACAACCAAACCTTTCAGAATGTAAACGAGTTTTCGACGAATATTATATATTGCCGCTTCGAAGTTTTATAGCATCTTACTCCTGGTTCTTCGTCGGGTATAATTGACCGTCGTTTTATTCATATGAAGCCAACATCGTTTGCCCTGTGGTCATACAGCAACGGTTTTATAAAATAAAAAACTAACGAATGTATTGCAGAGATATTCTCTATAGGCTAAAAGCCAACTGCTTAGAGTGAACTTCTATGCTTTCCGTAAATGAATCCCAGTCCAACTATTGATACAAAGGTCTCCGTGAAAGAATGTTCCAACATAATCAAGGCAATGCGCAACCCCACGCCTCCCTCCTCACGTTGACCAGAAAGAGGACGACATCTTGACTTTTAACAGTAATGGTCTCCCTTCTAGATTTCACAATTCTCATTAGTTCCAGGTATCAACAAGAACAAGTGGCAATGAATAAGAGCTTACAAAGGTACGCCCAACCGAAAGATCGTTGCTTCGTTCGTAGCCAGCATTGTCCGTGTTGCACTGCTGGTCGAGCCAGCCATTGCTGCCCAAGGCTTTGCGGATTAGTTGTCCGGTAATCACACTTCCTGCACTGTTTGACTTGTAGTCGCACGCGAATAGAGTGACATCGTCCGAGTCGTACTAGAAGGAAGAAGACGAAGTTTCATACTTGTTAGCCACACATATCAATATCGCTCAGATCGCTCTCATCCCATTGCACCGGCCCCAAATCAGTGAGTAGTGTGGTACTTACGTGGAGGCTGTAGTGGAACTTGCCGGCAGCGTCAACTTGTCCGTTGGCTCCCCTTTCGACCCAGGCGGCGAATTCTTCGACGGTCTTGACCAGGTCGTCGTGGTCGAGGTATCGTTCCTTACCACCGACTCCGCAAGTGGCCGGGCCCATGATGGGGTCCGCAGCTCGGCGCATGTTCATCGCAGAGGCAGAGGCCGAAGTGGTTAGGGCAATTGTTGCAAGAATCTGCTGAGGCAACATCTTGACGATCTGGTTTATGTGTGTTTCTTTTTTGTTAAAACAAAGATATGCGAAGGGCTACAAATTTAGAAGATTTCGCTGGAGTTCGTTGAAGTCTTGAGTGTGTGGTGTTTTGGAGTAATGGGTTTTGAGAAAGACCATTTTGACCCGAGAATTACTTGCCTTAATATAGCAGTGTCTGGATTGTGCAAAGCTTCAAAGTGTCTTAAACGTGTTCTAACGTCATCGATTCTACCGTGTGTACCAATGACGAGCCATTACATCAAGCTTCCTTATTCCATGATCAACATCTTGCTCCATTAATCTTATTATGAAGGCATTCCAATAGCCGTAAGCATCCTCACGAACTTTAGTATGAGGCCTTGAGATCGTCAGTCTACGTCTTATCCGATAGGAATTGAAGGCAATGCTGACGTAGAGTGCTTATGGCTGGATTCATCAGAAGGGGCGAAGTCGGGAACATACGAGAATGATATCCGTAGCTTACCGCATACGACACTCGGATAATCTTCCTTAGGATCAGAGGTATGGAGTATCTGCCAAACATGAGCTATGGATCTTGAAATTCGTCATTGGTGAATTCGAATGATTTACGTCACTGTCCCGGTTAGATTAATTTTATCTTGAATTTTGCTTGCCACGCTGACTTTCTAAAATTATGCCAAAGATCTTCATCGTTGTAGAGGCTGAGCGAGTTGATCAACACATGTGGACTCAGTAGGAGAGCATATGGGATTTCTCATCAATGACGTAGAATAGAATCTGATGATGAAAAGTGTGTGAAAATTGTCTTTGATGGGTTCCCGATCCAGCATAGCCGAGTCTCTCCGAATACCTTTACACATAAGATCGCTGCAGTCGCCGTGTAAAATTGTTAACGGGACATTATAAAAGTACATAGATTGATGCTTTATTTCTCTGTTAACATAAAAGTGCATCAAACATAACACATATCCATACACCAGTAAATAAACTCATCCATTTCAACCCAATTCACTCCAATATGAGGCTTTCTGCATCAGTCGGACTTTTGGCTGTCGTAGCCATAGCGGGAGTCGCTGCGGTTAGTGCACTTTGTCTCTTGGAAACAGTTTTGCAAATCAAATCTGTTTATTTTTACGATGCTAACTTGATAATATGTAGCAAGACCTTCATTGCGGCGATACTACACATGCATTTACTTGCGGTCAGGCTCAGATCACTGGACAGGACTGCCTGGGTGATTGTAACTGCCAGAATGGAGGACAATGCGCAGGCTTTAGCGATATCAATGACAACGACTGCCCTGCGGCCGACTTCAAGAACGTTTGCTTCAGAGCGGACAACGGCCCCGACTGCGAATGCCGTTAAATGTTTCTTAAAGGGGATGTGATGGACTGTCGTGATCCGCCCTTTTCGCCTTTCAAATCACTTATTCAGGTATTCCGTTGTAGCGATAGGAAATGATATAAGGTGACACCGAGGCACTTGCGAAACCTTATACGAAAACCTGGAAGCGGCGTGGAAGAAAGTTACGCAATTACCTCAAAAGTCTAATACAAAGATGCGCACCTAAAGTTTGCAGCGTCCCAGATATCGTCACTTCCTCTATATTTGGCCTGATTGGGATACGCGCAGATAGGTCGCTGCTTGTCCACTATGTAGTCAACCGTGTCGATGAAATTGCCGGTCCCACACAGGCGTCATTCCTGAGCCCATCACTTCACAGCGTTCCTGGCTATTCAGATGCGGAGCACGATATAATTCTGGCCCTAATGCAGTGGGTTGAGAATGGGACGGCACCTGAATACATTATTGGCACGCATGTACCATGGTGCATCCATGGTACTAGGTGTGCTATAACAATGCCTAGACGTTGTGAACAAGAATAACAGACAATCGGGACAAGGGGTGAGACCTACTCCATACCGGGTATAAGAAACAAACGATAGAACTCGCCAAGATCAATACCCTTTGGGGCAATAGTGGCAGCCACTTGATCACGGAAGTAGATGCCGACTCAAGGTGGTACAATGGCATCAGAGTGGCCATGGTAATGCAATAGCTTTCCTCCTCGCTCATAAAATGGAGAGAGGTCCCAATCGCTAGCCTGATCTTGACCAGGGTCAACCTCTTCAGCCCATTGAATGAGGTCTAAAGTAAGGTTTTCGAATGTAAAGTTTGTGAGTCCCAGAATATGCTGGGGGTACCAATATTGCGATCCAATATTGCTGATGCTACCGTTGCCGAAGATTCCGCTCTGGTTCCACATGGCTTCACTTCCGTACAACGAATGGGGATATATAAAGGTATCGTTGTCCTCCTTCCAGTCGCTGTAGAACTTGTGCAAAGTATCAAGCTGGGGCCCCGTCAGGCACGAACTGGTATTGCTGCTACCAATACACAGCAGTGAATGGTAGTCAAAGTTGCAACCAAGAGGATCGGAGATGAGCCCATCAACAAGTCCATCTTGGGGGTCGCACTGGCGTATAGCCTCTTGGCCAATCAGATCGAACAACTCAGTCGGAATGGTGTGATTAGAGCCAGAGGGGTATTGAAACGTAGTCTGCTTCAGGTTGAAGAACTGCTGGTGGGTAGTCCAATACGCAGGACAGGCCGAGATAATGCCGTCAAAATCCTCGGGGAACATTTGTGCCTCCTTGAAAGATTGTCGCCCACCAGTCGAGCAACCCGCCATGTAGCTATACGCTATACTCGTGTCATAGAACTGTTCTGTAAGCAACTTACCATACACAGTACCGAGGTGGTTTGCGCGCCAACCCCAATCATTCAATGACTCGGGATTCAGATACCAGAACCCATTCATATCAGATCCGGTATGACCGGTATCTGTGGCCACCGACGCGAATCTGTAGCGGAGGCCCACTGCCTATAAAAATTATCAGCACATGGAACAATCATTGTAGTATCCTATCCAGTTACCATGTCAACCCAGTTGATATTGGTACCTTCCTGGGCGGCGAGACTGAGAATTTGTCATCAGTTGGCCGCACGCATAATAGAAGAGGCCGGGCATGACCCACAAGAACCTTCCATTCCAGTCATCCGGAAGAAAAATGCCAAAACTGAAATGCGTTTGATACTCGGTAGTGACGTTGACTTGCACAGCGCAGGTGGCTGGTAGAGCAACGGGGTTGGAGGCAAACTGCAGCGTCGTAGCGTTTGGGTTTTGGAATGTCGAGTTGGCAGCATAGTGCTGTGCATACACGACCTGATCAATGGTACCATTCGAGTCCAAAATGCTCTGAAAGTTGTCAATGGTGCAATTGACGACGCCTGACAAGGCGCGTGTTCGTGCTCCGAAGAGCAGAAGAGACTTGACCAAGACTGCCTTCATCTTTAACTCATGAAGGACCCATTCAAATCACGGCTCTCTCATTGATGACATTGGATTAGCTGAAGCAATTTATTTCACACAAAAGAAACGAAACAAATGTACTCTCAGTGCCGATGTTTGCATCATAGTCGCAAGAGTTCGGATATTTGTGTCGGCTTTCCGAGCAGCAAGAGGCTGTCATATAGTCACTACCTGACAATAGGCCCACTCGCTTCTCCAATTGAAAATTGTGGTTTTTCTATGTCACATTAATGTGCCCCATTATTTTGCAAGTTGAAGACGGACATAGTTGTCAGATGGTGGATTATGGTTCCCATACACTGGGGTGTGCTTGAGCACACGGATCAACACCATGGTGTTCAGATAGATGTACGGGACCTCCCGGGGATTAGCCGGGGCCACCCAAATAAGCGTACACCTCGTCAAAACTGGAGGCGCAGAACATAGATCAACACATCACACAATTAACACCCATATCAGACCAGTTTAAACTCCAATAGGAAAGCACCACCTTGATCAACAATAATCATATCTCCGAATACTCACGCCGCAAATGCCCGGCTGTCTGATACGGGTGATTTGGTCCCTAATATGCGGTAAGAGCAAATTAATAAATTAATATTATGCAACTTCACTAATAAAAGCGAATAGCTGCCTGGGGTCGCGCCGAATTTTTTATAAATTATACAGGATATGATTAGAAGATTAGGTAAATACATATGGACTTCGCGCCGAAGGCCCCACTCTTTCGCCATCAAGCCGAGATGCCCAAGGGATATAGAAAAAAGGAAACAGAATGCAAAAAGAAAAGCTGAGATGAAGATATTTTCCGCGACCTGAGCTGTTTCGTCTTCCAACAGTACCTGCAGTCGCCCAAGACATCCACTCGCATATATCCTGGTGTGCCTAACCAAGTCGACATACGGAGCTTAGACTAATGTGAAGTCCTGCACTCCAGGGATATTCTGGAGATTATATTTGTGCCGCCAGTGGTCTTCGATAAGCTCCCAATACATTCCATATTGTGCTGGATTCAAAGTAATCCTGGCCATCCCGACCACTGTGTGCTTCTCTTCTGGCTGGACACCCTCTTCGCGAACAATCTCCTTGCGAAGCACCACCGCGGTCGAGAAACCTGTAAGCAGGCATACTTGATCGCCGCCTTGAGCATGAGCTGTACTCATACCAATCATCCCTTTATCGCACAATATCATCCTCGTTTGTTTCTTCGCGAGAAAATCAAATCTCCCACCGAGACTCTTGTGACGCAACGGCCACGCGAAACGTATCAACGATCCTATAACCCAAAGGTCTATAGCAATAAATATAAACGCCACAAGCACAGGGAATGTAAAAAACGAGAAAAGCCACCCCATTACACATGCGAATATAGACATAAGCATAAGGAAAAAGAAAGCCGCAATGAAATATCCTGGCTTATGTGTTGGAATGACCTTCAAGTAGCGATAATAATAGCTAATTTCGCTCTCAGCTAGCCATTCCGGCAAAGATCTTCTGCCCAAGAAGAAATTCTTGTTGGCGTTAGTCCACTCTTGTAGCCTGGCCAGAGAAGGGCTGTCCAGCTCACACCGCAGGAGGTACAGTCTATCATGGTGATCCCATATATTCAGCCAGGAGAGCAATCGTGAGCGGCGTTCCTGGCTTCTGTCATTGTATTCAAACTTTGACGAGAGCATGCGAACAATGACCCTTGAAATTTCTCTCGATGATCCATAGTATTCTTGTGGCTGCGTCTGAGGTGTTGCTGCACTGACGGCGTCGCTCGAGGTCGCTTCCAAAGCGGATGTTCCTGGCGCGGCGTCCATTAACACAGCCGAAGTCGCAACTATGGTTCCCACAACGACTCCTTTGATTATAAATGTTCCCGCGGAACGTGAAAGGCTGTAATCAACGAAATCTGGATCAAATAAACGATCGTGGCGGATAGTCGTATCACTTTATGGGTCTTCCAGTGCCAAAAGATGTGGTACCCAACTGGGTTGGTTTGGGGAAGCATCGCGGTGGTGACGGTCCAGTACCATCGTGTTGAAGTTGCCATTTGCACGAAAAACGGCAATGGCTAGTTCCCTCAGCATTGATTCAAAATTTTGAAAATAGTTTGGGGTTTGAATCAGTTTTTTGCCGTCGGAAGAGATACCAATCAGGGCAAAAACCTTATCGCGATCGTCTTTGGATGAGAAGTGCTGAGTTTTGACGATGTTTTTGCACAGCGTTTCCTGTTGCTCAAGTCGTTGTTCCCCGCGAATTTGGATTATCTGGTCCAAGTTTGTGCAGTAGCTGGCCATATCTAATGACCAATATTTTGACCGTTTGCATAACTTAATAGCGCTTATCAGGTCTTTCAGATCAATAGTTACTGTCCCACAGGCAACCTCTACCTGCTGGGCAGCAGCAACTTCTTGGATAATCCAGCGGCGCCCCCAGTAATCGCGACGAAGTAAATCTTCCAAATCCCGGAAAGATGGACATGCAGAGGACTCGTTGTGATCGGCGCCAGCATTGCCCATGCCCTCACTCATATGATCAGACCGCGCTGGACTGTCTATATTATGCGTATGTTGTATGCTGTCGGTGACCGTTTCATTCGAGCTTATTCGGCCAAGAAACATCAGACCGGCTGCGGCGCGATCAGATCCCTCTTTACCAAGCCATGTATACGTCTGAGCTGCGTTAGAATACACCTGGTCCATGCGGCCAACCTGCAGACTCTTTTCCTGAGCATCCTTCTGGTTGATACACACGGCGTCGGCCCATATTTGCTTTACTCCAATAATCCGGAGCTGTAATAATGCGTCTCGCAAGTTGACGGTCACCTCTATGTTTTTGCCATCAACAATTATTGGGACAGTGACGTTGGCATCGCCCCAGCAATATGACAATGCCGTATATTTTGGCTTGGAGAGAAGACTTTGATTTTGCAGTGTACAACATATCGTTGTATTGTCATCGCCAGGGAGGATTGTGAGCAGTCGAATTTCGTAGCTCCCGACGTCGAGTGCTGTATAAATGGACTCCATTGCAACTAACGTAGATTCGCGAAGCTGTTGAAATGAGAAGTGACAAGAATTCTACCTTTGCGGAAAACTGATCAGCTTTAAGCCTGAGTCTGAACGACGAGGCTGTGGTCAAAGCGGGGTGATATAGAACCGATTGGTGATGAAGTCACCTAAAACCATGTATTGCGGCTGATCAATTCCTTGTCTAGTATTGACAGATCTAAGTCCATTCCCCAACATGGCCAAATTTGGGCAGGACCTCGCGGAATTACGTACCATAATGCCGGTGCTTCTGCCGGACAGACCTATCAAGTTGCCAGACCCAGGTTCCTTCATGAGTGTGGTCAATAAAGTAATTGTGCCAAGAACAACAGCAGCAATGATGCTACCCAACAACCACGCGTTGCATTTGCGGAACTGCTGTTTCTGAGACGGATTGGCGTCGGGTCCATTTGGCCTACCGGAAAGGATATTGATTGCCGTCAGGCACGCTCCAAGGAGCACCAAACTTGAGCCAAACATGGTGAGCGATCCCTGCCTACAATATAGGTGGTCCAAATTCACAGGAACAAAGAAGCGACAGAAGAGGATATGCCGCGCCGCAAGAGATCGCGGCTGCCTGGCGACAAATTGCATATATGTCCTCGCTGTGCCACTTGACTATGGGGCCGGTTCGGCTCCCAATACGTTCACGGGTCCTCGTGAACCTAAGTTCACACGGACTCGTGAATCTTATGTCATTCTCACCAAAACAGCACCTATTGAACCACGCACTGCACTAGATCATCCATTGAGCTCCCAGCATAATTGGCGATGCAGCTGCTTGCTAACTCCCGATGCAGGCTTTAACAACTACATGATTGCCAAAACCAAGGGTTCGGGTACCGCGGCATAGGTGGTGCATCACAATAGGTGGTGCCGCGCAATTATATTGCAGTGCGGCAAATGCGGTGCAGTGGGTATAGCGCAGCGGCAGAACCAGAATTACAGTGCTAGAACCACAACGCACCACCGCGAATGATACTCAATATCACGGCTTCTTCCATCACGCCTATTATACCACGTAAAATTGGCCATAAAAAACGGGATGAGAGATATGACGACGGAGAATCTGAGAATCACGACGGATTGGCAATAGCATCTACGGCAAGGAAGACAGTGAGATGTGCAGCTCGTTGAGCAGCTCGTAAATTACGTAAGATTCAAGGGTCCGTGGAAACTTATATCCACGCCGCACGGCACCTACCTCAACGCGATCACGGATATGAATTGCAACAAATGAATTTGCTGTCACATACGACCATAGGTACTAGAGAACTCGGCATCCCGTCCGCTCTGCCCTAGATAAACTAGTAACCGCCAGCCTAGTAGTCGGATCGGTGACGATCTGATAACTACGCAGCGTTGTGATTTTTCCGGTTTCTTTTACAACCTCCTTTTTGTGTTCGAGTCGGTAGTCGTGGCATTGAACAGGAAGTGTAAAATGGAGCATGGTTGCAATGGATACTGCTGGAGCTGCTGGAGCTAGCTTACTTCGGCATAGATCTGGCCGTTTAATATGCGGCCGCCATCTTTTTGGCAGAGAAGCGGGGTTTGGCCAAGAGAGATTGCTTGCGATATCCAATTGAGTTGCGTTTGCTTCAAAATGCAGCACGGTCCTTGCGACAAACGTGATATTACTATGTAAGACGTTTTGAGATCTTCGCTATCTATTGCCATAATATACTCGCTTCGTGGCACAACAGCCCGGAAATTGCCAATCTCATGCATGCGCACTCCAAAAGACCAGCCACCCGAGCTCAGAAACACCAATTATTATGGCGGGACTCCAGAAAGATGGTGGGTTGGAAGCGGACCTGGTTCGACGACAATTCAGCTCAGCGCATCTTCACCCCCTGCAAGGCATTTTCAGTCCTCGAGAGCCATGCAGGTCTTGGCATATAGCTGCAGCATCGCCACCAAGGCATACAGCTTGACGAGGCTCCGAAATGCAATGCCTTGGGCGTCAAGACGTTATCTCATTTTGCCGTTGCATTTAATATACAACTATAGCTAATCATTAAAAAGTTGGCAATTCAATCAACTCGAGCGCAATTGCATTTGTTATACTGCTGCTATATACTTAGTCAATACGACCCTCCTTTAGCAGTCGCAAACGATCACGGATAACGAATCTCCACTCCCTGGAGATCTTCCATATCCAGGTGGAGCAGAGGGCGAAAAAGACAAGGAGGAACACGATAATAGTGATTATGCTGAACCAAAAGGCCATATTAAAGAAACTTAAGCCAGACTGGCTTTATCCGATAGCAACACAAACTTATAGCGCGCTGAGGATCACCGACGTTATACCAATTATAAAGAGAAGTGGCCCGTAGAATCGGGCGAAATAGTCGCCATATTAATATTTAACGCGCTGGAAATAAAATCTTCGAAATAGCAACGGAGCATAGAAATTAAGCCTTATAAATCGGATTTCCCCGAAGGCAAAGCGTGGCGAAACATTATAATCTGTGATTAAGCTAAATTTACTTATAAAATTGCAATATTATTCCTATATGATATTAGGCGGGAATAAATGCAGACCAGGATCTTAAGCAATTCGTAAATCTGATTTATATTAGATGAAATACGAATAAGTTCGTAAAAAACCTAATGCTGCTTTTTATATATCTTTTTATCAACTTTTTGCACCGCTGCCTTCAAAGACATATTAAAGCCAAAAGGCGTGCGACGTAAGATATTATGGCAGCGGCTTCACGAACATTCGGTCGTAAATCTATACGAGATAGAGTTTCGAATCTTCTGTTAGGACGATGGTTCGTCGTTTAACGATCTGGCGATGGGGCGGAGAGATGCTGCTGCTATCTTATTTTAACATCCACCAAAGCTTAGCTGTTATAACGTTCAAATCTATAAAGCAAAGGTCCTTAGCGAGAAAATCGTGCGCCCTAAAGCGATCGAGGAGTGGGACACGGGGATAGCCGGGAAGAGATCGAATCGCGTAGGAGCCAGTGTTTAGGTCCGTGTATAGCTCATGAGCCAGTGTGAAAGGTGGGCTCCCCGCATTCAAAGATTTCATTGTCGAAGACATCTGAGAAGGATAATAAAAGAGATGATGGAGCTTCCTTTCTTCAATGGCTAGCTAAATACTTATGTTTTTCTACATGCCGCTCGACGCCCGACGGACGAAGCGGGGAAGTGCATCACGCGCCGCTTATATTTTCAGCCTCACTGCCACATGGTGTCTCGTCTCCTCAGATTCAACACTCATCCACACATAGCTACAACTCAAAACCTCTACGTTCGTTGATACCAGAGACTTTACAACCATGATCCCTTCTGGACTCACTGCGTCAGCTGCAGTATTGACTCCGCTTCTGGTCCTCATCGCCGTTATCCTTCGGCTAACGCGCGTGAGATTGATAAGGGGAAAGGCCATCATCATATCTCCAGGAGCCCAGGGCGGCGAATTCTACCATCATTCATTTTGTTGGACTAGCGATATGGGACTCTTCACCTCTACAAGTTATAACCAAACACCTTTAGCCTCGCCTTCGGTGTCTAATGATCTGACTGATGAAGCTGAAAGTCAGACGACCCAGTGAGTAACTGGTGAGCGAAGCCACTGGTGGTTGTTGTACAATCTCAAGAATTGTGTACAAAACACCATCGGCATCCTGAATACCGTTTCAGTTGCATTTTGGTTGATATTTTGATCAATTATTACATGACATCGAAACAGCTCAATGCAGAACTTCGGCGTGTGTCCACATGGTGTGAGTAATGCCTGATTCGCACAGATATTCAGCGAGACGACCGAGTCTGACGCGTTGCAGCTCCACTACATGATATGATAGACCTGAATTTGCACACTACGACTGCCAACGGCGACTTATATCCTGCTAGGAGCCGACCTGTTGGCCGTCAAATGCCGAACCCGGAGGCGGACGCCATCTGGGACGAGTGGGAAGTCACTCGAGTTTTCCCTATTCATGCCGACGAGGTGCGCCGCCTGGGCAAAGACTTGGAAACCGCCGTACTTCTCGAGGACAAGTACTATGGCCGAGGTGACGATATATACGCTGCAACGCTAGACATTTATCACCAGCTGCACTGTCTGAATCAGCTTCGTTGTAGGTATACCTCTATCCCTGAAGTGGTAGATATCCCACGGTGCTTCATGCTCATTACTGATCATAATCATAGGGATTGCATACGGGACCTACTACAATATATCCATGCTCAGCCCATCTGAAGAAGGATTTAGGGAGGTTCACATCAACCACTGCGTGGATATGCTTGCTCAGACCATCCAGTACACCGGCAATCTGAACCTGATCACCATGTATTGGACAGAAACAAAATCATTTCCATTTCCGGATATGAGCATTAATCATAAATGTGTTGATTTCGATGCCCTGACTGAGTGGTGTAGACGAAACACGATCGACATGGATGTGTGGTCCCACCGCACCGCGAACATATTGTTACGGCCTCAGGGATCGGTTTTAAGACCTGCTCCAGATGCGGAGTACATAAAAACGTCTGGCGATGCTCACTGAGTTGTGTAGCCTGTTTGAATATGAGTCAAATGGGGAGTTTGGACTATTTCAAATGCATCATCACGCAGATGACAGGACAGCCTCCCTGTGATTCTGTACACAATAATGTGTTGTGGGCGGCTATCCTGCATTAGGAGTAAGAAGTGCTATATTCATGGAACGATTTGTTGCTTATATGGTTATGGCTGTGACGTAGATGCAGCTGGAGTTATAATTCAACAGGCCTGCATTTACTGCTCTGAGACTGAATCTGAGATTGGAGCGGAGACTAAGTCTGGAAATACCAGGAGTAGACTCTCTGCGCAGTGAAGATCGAAGGACGAAAGAGTTGGCGAGTCTACACAGGTTCTTTGTTGGAGTAATTGTTGAGATGAACGAGGTTATGGTAAGTGAAGTGATTGATTAGTTGGTTAAGTATCTGTACGTATCTATGGGAGTAGAGAAAGGTATATGTATGTAGTCTATAGTGGAGCGTGAAGCCCGAAATGAAGGAGGCTGGGCTCCTATTTCAACAGTAATTTCTGGACAGAGCAATGGCCGCCGACTGGAGCTACTCATCGTTGATTCAGCAGGGCTGGCGTGATTGATGTTCAAGTGACCATAATCTGGCACGATAGGCCAGGGTGCGTGCGGCTCAGTACTCCGTAAGCATGGCACTACTGAGTCAGAAGGGCATTATATGCGAGGGGCGCGGGGCAAATGCAACGAATACTTCGGTACTAGGCAGGGATCAGTGGCTTATTGAGCCTTTGGCTCTTGCAAGTACTCAATCGTGCTGTATTATTTACTTCATGCGAGGCAAGGTGACCGAAAACGGAAGTATGCACGTCGCTGAAAGCCAAAAGGTCCTACTTGTGATAACCATATGTCTACTATGAGGCCGTTTGGCCACGGATGAGGCACATGGATGACGGAAGAAATGGCACCTCAACACATCCCACCTTAAATTCTGTCTTTGTAACCTATTGGTTTTGCGTTACATATACGTCTGGAGTCACTCCTTGAGTGAGTTGATGTCCTGCCAGCTACCATCCCCATCATCCATCTCTCGTCAGTGATCTGCTTCGACAGATTCATTGAATCGAACATGTTGCGAGTGTTCACAACATGGAAGAGCTGGCGGGGTCGATATCCTTATTTCAGTCTCCACACCATCAAAGGAGATATGGCAACGGAAGGCGATGACGACCACGACCGTATGCAAGCTTCGACTGGATCGCCTGGGACGCCACAAAGGAGACAAGACTTTCTCTCGGTTCGTACGCTGTATCTTCCAACCAGCCTGATATTGTTGATGGGATTTTTACTATACCTGGCCATCCAAACATTTCCAGCCTCATCATGGCCGCGGGATGGTGTCAGAAATGGGATTGATTACAACAACGCCGAGACTGCGGTCATGATCGCGCCATGCGGAAACACCCCAGACATGGCCCGCGCTGCGGATTGCAAGTTCGACACGGTCTCATTTGCATGGCTTCCAGAGCGTTGCTATGATGCTGAGCTGTCGGAAGAATTTGCCCAGATCAAGCAGTGGGAATATTTCGAGGACCAGAATCGCTCCGTGAAGGTCCCTCATGAAAAAGCGCTTACAGGCGATTACTCTGCGCTGTACAAGGAATTCGAATACCACCTTAGGCACGGTGTTTTCATGTGGAAGAAAATGCACCGTGCGCTGCTGCGCGAAGGCGTTGGCCGGCGCGGAATCGACTCGTCGATCGCTAAGTACGGGCACACGGAGCACTGCACCAAAATGCTAATAGACAGTCGCGCAGTGGCAATGGATCTGGTGAATTCTGTTATCGTACTCAAGTTCCCTGACTGCGGTATGGCATGAAATTAGATTCATCATGGTGCCAGTGCAACATGTAAATTAAGGTTGTGGAACGCACATGCGGCGCCTCCAAGAACGGGATAACTGTACACGATTTCGCTGAGCCAACTTGTGTGCGAATTGTGCTGTGAACTGTACGACTTTCGGTTCCTTGTCTTTTTGTTGCTTGTTTTGTTGTCTCCTATGTACGTAACGAGCTCACTCAACTGTGCCGCTCTATGTCTTGGCCGCCTCCGTGCCGCACCTCGTGTCGTTTTGCCATCGGGACCCCGTTGGCCCGCATAGCAACCGCTTTGATATGGCTTCCTGCCAGACCAAAGGCCAGCGAGTAGGGAACAGTGGGCACCTATGCGACACTTCGGCCTAGGACTATATCCTAATTTCCCCGCAACACAACGCTACATCCGGCAGCAACACTCATTCAGATCTTCACGTATGATGACAAGGAGCTTCGCCCTTTGTCATGGCGGTAAAGAAGCGTCAGTTGGTCGGCATGCTTGACGCACCAAGGCTGTGTAGAAGACACGATAGGCCGAGACTGACCTGCATAAGCAGCCAGACTGCACCTCTATGGGCTATGGCACTTTTCTCATGATACCGAACCCGGTTTGGGGGTATAGTGTTGCATGCAGCTGCTAAGCACACAGGAGATGCAGCACTGCAAAACAAGTGGATTCTTTTTTTTTTCTTTATTGATTTTGGAAAGGCTGTAGGCATGTATCTATGCAGAGTTGTGAAAAAACATGATAGGTATGGGTGATAGTCGTTATATTACTAGGTAGTTGAGTTATTCCCAATAGAGGTTGGATGGTTAAAGATATATACAAATGTGGAGAAGCGCTCCGCTTATTCCTACATTGACAAGGGTATCATCCCTATCACGTGTTGTATTACAGTACTTGTCGACCAGGAACGGATGGGCTTGCAGAATAAGGCCCTGCAATATTAAGATGCAAAGAATGATCCTATAGAAACACCATCTCTTGCTCGTAGCTCTAAGGTCCAGGATCTGATACGTAAGAGCTAATGCAGTGACCTCGTGAAAAGTGCAACACGTTTTCTCGTATAACACCAAGGTTGTGCTAAACCATAACATTGTTGTACATCATTCACAGTACCAATCAAATGTCAGAGTTACAATTAGACCCCGCATAAGTGTAGCCCTTCTTGAAGAGAGCGGCATCACAGCCTTACCGTTCCAACGAAGAAGACGTTACAATCTCACACAGTCTCGTGCTACATAATCATACCATGCAGGTAAGCTACAGGAGATGTTGATGTATGCACACGGCACCGAGAACATTGCAAGAAACCCTGGTCATCCTTGCATCGACTAGACGGTCAGATAAATAATGCTTTTCGTCACACAGCCTGAGCATTTGCAGTCATCTGAGCCAATGAAGATCGAGAGGTGTAGCATCTGACTCTCATCCTAGGGAAGCTACTCGTACTGTCTCTTTGTGTGTGAACATATGGCACGTCTTTCCTCGAATGGCTTGTGAAGCTTTCAGTACTTTGTGAGTACCGCGCCATAACCCCACTCACGTCGATTACTTTGCCACTCAGCGATCGCTTACGCCTTCAAACCACCCTGGTAGCATCTAGATCCCAAAATGAACGGTCAAGGATATATAAATCCATCGAGAAGGGAGAAAAAGTAGTAGACTATACCCCGTTCGGGTATTGGTTTGTTTGCTGATCTGGGGAGCTGAGCACGGATTTGTAGTTTCATGTATATATGTCGGTGAAAGTCTAAATCATCCTACCCAACGTATCCTAGCTTCGTTGGTTCGTATCTTGTAGCTGATACGCCACCGTCCTGATCCTACCGTCCTTCGCGCGCAATTCGCATAAGACCTTCTTGTCATAATATACCAAGTTGAATGGCGGCTCCGTAAGCTCAACACCTGAATTGAACATCACTCTAACGTTTCCGGTAAGTATATCATGGTTTGGTGTAAAGGGGTCATCGAAAGGTATATGCTCCGTTATGATTGCCCACTGATACTGGCCCAGTTTCGGAAGAAAATCTGAGATTTGCTTGTTGCTAAGATGTTGTAGTACCTGCCGGATAAACACTACGTCTCCTGGCGGTAGCTCAGCGGTGACGATATCAAGGACTCGAAAATCAACGTCTTCGACCGCGTAAGCGACCCGATTGTACTCAATCATGGCGGGAACGACATCGCAGGCAACGTAATGGTCTGCGGCACTGCGAATTCGTCGTCCAACGTTGAAATCGCCGCACCCGAGATCGACGGCATCCGGCGCCTTCGAAAATGTGTCTTTGATGAAAGACCGGACATTCAACACATATGGATCCACAATTCCCATATTATGAGACCCTGAACCGGAGTTGAAGGGCGTTTCTGTTGTAGACTCGCCCCATATACCAGCTTGATAGATGAATGAAAAAACCTCTGTCGTAGTCCTACTGTATATCAGTTGCGCACCAAATAAATCTTAGAGCGTGTACATAAGAATGTCACTATAGACGAGGCAAACTATAGATGATGGACATCCGCCTCTAGGATGTGAGTATCTTACCTCTCTCGAGTGTCGTGTGTCTGGTAACGAATGTAAATCATATACAATAACCCCAAAGCTATCGCAACAAGCGAGACACAAGATAGCCGTGAACGTGGAAGATGAATGAGCATTTTGACTGTGATCGGATAAAAAGTCTGAGTCTCACGCTACACGATTGAAATTTTTGAATTTCCTTTTTTGAAGCGATATAACCCCGTGTAGTTATGTATTAAATTCTGCTTCCGAACATTCCTACGAAACACCATAATATAGCCTTGGCCCTTCAATATTCAATGATGGTACTTACAATATACAAGGCTATAGGAAAGAAAACAGAAAAGAAAAAAAAAACATTTTATCTTAACAAGACGCGCGACACGAGACCACCTTGACGCCAAGATCAGCGGTGTAGGGTGTCACTCAACGTTATTGATGCACTGCTTATGCAGTCCCACATTAGCTTGAATCCTTCTGACTCTGCCAGAGTAGGTCATGAAATACACGACTCGAAGAGTTAAAACGCCACTACAGGATAATGATGCATGACCCTTCGAGCAATTTGGTACATCATCCTATCCAGGGGCATCGTATCCGAGCGGATCTTACCAGCTCTTCCCCGACAAATTACTTTCATAGCCATTTTATAGCCATCGCATTAGCAGCAAGCCAAGCTTCTTACCTGCCAGCATTTGGCGCATTGCGTATAACATGTGGCGTCATGCCGTCGTTGTTGACCTCCGATTCATTGCTAAACGCGACCTCTATTTTCCGCTGTCATTTCTTACTTAAAGTCCCAATCCCATTCTCCACTCTTGATAAGGCCATGGATCTGTATCTTAATTCCCTCTGCGCGATTACTTTGGCAAATTCAATAGTGCTGTACCTACTCCTTATACAAAATCACGTCACTGTTGAAATTTTCAGCGGTAGCGCCGCGAAATCACGCCTGGGTCTTAATTTCATGCTCATTTATGCCCTTGTGTTGGGCGCAGACTGGCTCCAAGGCTCTTTCTTCTATGCTGTATACAGGGAAGCTCATGGCTTGCCGGACAAAACAGTCGGCAGGCTTTCCGCCGCGGGCTTTGCGGCTGCCGGGTTGTCTGCAACTTTCATCGGTAGCCTTGCTGATAGATACGGAAGGAAAAAGGCGTGTCTTGGTTATTGTGTCTTCTCAGTACTGTCCTGTGTGACCGTGCTAGTACACGATCTCCGAGTTTTGTTCGCTGGACGCCTTTTCGGCGGTGTCGGGACTACTCTACTCTACAGTGTCTTCGAGCCATGGTTCCTCAGTGAGCTTGATCGGCTGTGCAATAATTCCATAGAGAGGGAAAACATCTCGACCAATATGTTCTCGCTTCTATCCATCCTTAATGGCTTGATCGCGATAGGATCTGGGGTATTCAGCCAATGCCTTGTTGCGAAAACGGGTTCTACGAAGTCGCCATTCATTGCTAGCGCAGTTCTTCTTATGTTCAGCGCTCTACTCATACAATGTAGATGGGTATGTGGAAGGATGTGAAGAACGTCTTCATTAGAAAATCCCTCTAATATGTTCACAGACTGAGAACTATGGTCACCATACGCTGAATATGTATCACGAGATTCTAGACACCATCAGACTCATCCGTGGTACTTGGGGTAAGTCATAACGATATCTGAGCGATCTCTCTAATTGATACCAGATCCTCAGGTTCCATGGCTGGTCATGGTGGTCTGCATTTTCGAGTCGATAATCTACATCGTGATCTACTTTTGGCCGGCAGCAATTGTCTCGACCCGGATGAACGCTGGTGCTCCCGCACCATTCGGACTGATTTTCGCTAACTTTATGTCAATAATGATGCTAAGCTCTATGATCTTCAGGCTTTTATCGCAAAGATTTACCTGGACGATTAATCGGCTCTATAGTTCTCGGTATCTTTTGATGGTCTCCGGGCTCAGCCTTGTGGTAACTGGATTAGGTGAATCAGAAGCATTGTGCTTCACTTCCCTCTGCCTTTTCGAGGCCTGTGTGGGTTATTACAGCCCTTTCATAGCAACTCAAAAAGGCCAGATCGTGTCCAACAAGTATCGAAGTAAGTTTTATGGGTTTTTAAGGGTGCCGGTAAACAGCTTGGTCATTATTACTCTTTCATATATCAAAACAGGTATTTACGGCCCCGAGTAACTACAGCTATGCTCTCCATTAAGCTCTTCCTAGGCGATGCGTATCGGAATGCGGTTTTCATAATTAGCAGTGTGGTACTTATCTCGGGTAGTTTTGCTTTGTGATGGGATTGAACGCGGGTTACGCCACGTCTTCACATATTCCCAGTCAAGCAAATGCTTCTTGAGGTCGGCCGGGTCGGTCGAGGAGGCCAATGAATGAGATATAGATCAACATAATCAGTGCCCAGTGCTTCTAGGGACTTATCCAGCGCCTCGGCAACGCGAGTCTGCCATTAGTTGTACAACTTGGTCGTCAGCCAGATATCGCTTCTCGGGACTCCGGAACTACGGATGCCGTCGCCGACTTCGGCTTCGTTGCCATAGGCCGCGGCAGCATCAATATGTCTGTAACCGATTCGTAGGGCAGCTTCGACCGCTGCTCGCACCTCGTTCGGCTTTGATTGCCAGGTCCCGAGACCAACTGCAGGAATTTTGTCTTTCGTGTTGAGAGTATAGATCCTTCTTCATGTCTAATCAAATCAGCGATATACGTGACAAGAGCTTGACACTTGAGCTTTGACAAGAATCAAATTCGAGTGCTTCCTACCGTATGTTTGTCGCGGCGGAAGCTATGGTTTCGCTGAGTGAGGTGAAGTGCTGTAAGTAGCAACCCACTATTACAGTCCGTCAGTGGGCACTTATATAGGATAAATATGATCAACATCTAACGGATTCGTCGTTTGAGAATGTTAATCTTGATATGATGGTCGTGGCCGAGGTAGTTAATGGACTGAAGCGGTGTCATTCCATCGTCAGTCAGAACTTGAGCCGTCGCCACTGGGCAGGTCTTCGTGGAATTGCTGGAAGACGTACTTCCAAACATAAGATGCTGAAATTTTGGTTTATTAGTCGGAAAAGCGGAAAGATCAAAGACCGCGTGTCAGGACCAAAGGATCGAAATTGCGGCTTTGCACTTCCAATAGCCAGTTTCCTGGTCGAAGCGACGGACCAATCATCGTCCCCGAGCGAAATGCGTCTATCTCTAGTTCCGTCTCTCATGACGTTGTTAGATCACACAGGTCATATACTAGAAACGATGCTTGTAAGATGGTGGGCTATTCTTGCACTTCGCAGACCAGACAGTGCAGGACTACTATCATGGGCTCATGCACCGATTCCGCTGCACCACTGTGATCATAATAATTTCGGCTCAATAGCATAAATGGGACAAAATACGCTCAAGTCCATCAGTTTGAATATGCGTCTATGCGTTTATCCGCGCTTGATTGTGGCCTGACTGTTACTATTGGAAGAAACATTACAGACCACTTGGAAGCATTATAGACCACTTGGCTACCAACGCAAGGCAACTCATTTCAGCGTCTCATCCACAGACTTGCTCGAGCCGTTTCATGGCGAATCAACTATTATACATTACAGAGATGAACGATCTACTTTTCCATACTTGAATAACAGCTTCGGCCGCTATCCTAGACTTGGAACCCCTTTCGGACTGCAAAGCCCGTCGGAAGATATTGAGTGCTTGAAACGCAAGAAATGCAGGTGCCTTCAACCTCTAAGCCCCGTCCACTACTCTCTGTATGTCATTGAAAAAAGTTTCGAGGCCATCCTCTGACGCGTCCTTGACCCAATCCTACAATTCTATGCCTTTTCTCATGCCTTGTACCATTTTCTGCCCCTCATTGGCGAAAATGCGGCTTCCCCCGGCTGCGTTGACGCAAAGAGTTAATATAAAACTGAAATGAAATATTATTCTACACTTCTCTATGTCATAATCGAGAAAAATGACAACGCAAAGAACTGGTCATTCTTCCGAAACCCCTGACCGAACCACCCGTGAGCAATCGATCCGCCCTTGTCAAGCCTGCCGCAGTTTCTCCACAACAGAGTCCGCAAGCGAAGACAGCGAGCGAGTGGCACTAAGAAGATCTAGAAACGGTACATCAATCTTGAACGTGGCCCAAAACCAGGTCCTAAACTCGGAAGCGATCATACTGTCCACGCCGAACTGGGCCAGGGGTTTCGTGACCAATATGGCATCCAGCGGCGTGAGGATGAGATTCGAGAATTGCTTCTGAATAACCTTCAGTACGGCGTCCCGGTGCGACTTTGCATCCGTGGCCGTTGACAGCGAGTCCAACCCTGTTTGTTGAGCCTCCTCGGCCCACACTGCAGAGCTCGCCGCAAAGCGACCTTTTTTTCCTGCATGATGTGCGGTGCGCGTCAGGTTTTGGACTTCCAGAGCATGTGCCACGATGCTCGCGCGCGGATCCTGGAAGGGGAGATTGTTGACATCAAAGCCTTTCGCCATCAGATTCTGAAGGCCGAGCGACTCCAAGCCCGTCAAGATGTGCGCTTGCGCGAGGTCGAGATTCGCAGAACTGGTAATGCCAAAATCGACGATCTGGAGAAAGTCCTCCTCGTTCAGTGGGTAGATACCTCGCCGCAGCAGGATGGCTTCGATCTTCGGGTTTTCATGCAGATATCCGACTTCCGAAACCATTCCCAGACCGACTGAGACGGCAGGCTTGCCCTGCTCCCGCCTCCAGCGTGCAAACGCGTCAAGGAAGCCGTTGGATGCGCAGTAGTTTGCCTCCGTAGCGATGCCCACCGTCCCCGAAATGGAGGATGTCATGAAGAAGAAGTCGAGATCATCATCGCAACCGTCAATGGCGTTATGTAGGTTCCAGGTGCCCGCCCACTTGGCATCGATTCCCTGATGCCACGCATCGTTCGACATGCGGGAGAAGAGCGCCTCCTGGAGGCCCATCGCAGCCTGTATCACGCCGCCGATCGGCCCGCCCAAGGCCTTGCAGGCCTCGACAGCCTCGAGCACATCGTCACATCGTGTCACGTCTCCCTTTACGACCTTCACCTTCACGTCTGCGTCCTCGAGAAGGGACACCAGCCTTTGTGCGGATGGACTGTCACAGCCCGACCTTCCCAGGAAAACAAGGCGTCGAGCACCGCTGGAGAGTGAATGTTCAGTAAATACCACGCAACAACCATGGTCATCGATATGGAGGAGTGGTCCTACCGCGTTGCCATCCAGCGACTGATGCTTCTCCCAAGACCACCCAAACACCCTACAAGCAGGTATACTTTGCTGGGATCCAAGAGCGATTGGTATCTTGGCGGAGAGACCTAGAGGGCGTTATAAAACGATCAAGGAACGAAGCGACCGTGGACTTGGTGCTTACTCGTATCTGGCTCAGCCCATTCTCAAGTGAAACCACAACCTTGCCGATGCGCTCAGCCGATGAGAAATAGCGGTATGCCGAGGTTATATCAGAAACGTCGAACACCTTGAAAGGATTCGTCTTTATTTTACCAGACCGGTACCAGTCCAGAGCCGTTTTCATGTTTCTACTCAAACTGTCAGATAATACTCGATTCAAACCATCGGTAAAGGGCGGAGAACGAGACCTTGCATATTTTGAAAGTTGGGCCGGGTGGTTGGAATGAAACATCTCGCTGAGATCGAAAGCAGTAAACGTCGCGTTCCGTTGGAACATGATCATGTCCAGCCGACCTGCATCGACGAGTTCGCGTTTGCTTACTTCCACGAACCTGCCAAAGTCGGCGATGCATCTCCAGCTCGCGTGCATCAGATCGCCAACCAGCGAGTTCAGGACAACATCGACGCCGCGCCCCGCCGTGGCAAGGTGTATCCCCTGGACGAAAGACGAATCGCGAGAGCTGAAGATGTGCGATGGCTTGATGCCAAACTGTGACACGAGAAAGTTCTTCTTCACATCTGAGCTCGTGGTCGTGTAAACCGTTGCTCCCGCCCTCTGTGCCACTGCGGATTCGGCCGTGGTTAGCTCTTGACCAGAGGGGACCACTCTTCAATGATCATCACCGCAACGGCGCGAGGGATAAAATGGGCAAAGGGCGCTTCGGGAACAGGGGACATCTGGGGCAGGGCAACTCACCATTGATTGCAGCTATTCCGAGAGCGCCGGAACCAGCATGGATTAGGATAGATTCCCCTTTGGAAAGACGAGCGCAGTCGTGCAGTGCGTATAGCGCCGTGCTGTAGGGCACCAGAATCGTCGACAGTGTGGCGAAATCTTCGTCCGGGAGAAGCTTTTGTACCGTCCACGCCGGCACTCGCTCGGTAGTGGTGAAGTAGTTTGGCACCATTGCCACAACTCGGTCTCCCGCCTGGAGATGTTCCACATCGTGAGCGACCTTCAGCACCTCCCCTGAGAACTCGCAAGCCGTGGTGGCACCTCGTATGTCCAGTCGCCCGTGCAGGTTGTATATGTCTTTGGCATTCAGGCTGACCGCCTTGATCTGAATGTCAACAGCCCCGCCCGGCAGGTCCGTAGGGGGCTCGCGTAATTGCTTGAAGTAAATAGAGTCCATCAGCCCAGGCGTACCAACTGCAAATCTGCAGACCCCTGCATTTCGCAATGTGTCATTGCATGTGTGTACTTTGCCTCGCTCTTCCTGGCGCATGCGGAACAGAGTGTTGAGATCTTTGTCGGGGGCGAATCTACTAATGTACAGTAGGCCATCTCGCTGTATGAATTCCTTATCGTCCGTGTCGCCTTGGGCCACGAATGCCTGAAGCAGGTTGCTGCATGTCAGCGCCATGGTCTGTTCGAAGTCACGATGACGGCCGATGTCTACCACCGTGAAACGCATCGAGGGCTGTTCCAGCATGAGGGACCGTGACAAGCCATGCGCCATGGTGAGCCGAGGGTTCGACTCTTCCAGACCACTGCTGCCGGTAATCCATGATAGATCAGAGACCTTTCCAGTCATCTCGCGCAAAAGATCCATGTCTTCAGGGTTCATCGAGGCCAAGAACTCGTTCTCTAGCTCCAGGAGAGAGATGCAGAACGTTTCCTGGTCTAGACCAGCCGAGTGTATACCGGTCAAGGAGACCCTCTGTACGAGGCCAACATCGACCGTCTTTTCGAAGTAGGCCGTCAAGGCTTCGGTCAATTGATCAGTTGCAGGAGAGTTTTCACGGTACTATGAAAATCAGTCAAGGGACTCACAAAACACTTTTACCTCAACTTACCACCAGCACTACCTTTTTCCCTTTGGGAAAACTGCTCTGTGCACTCCGAGTTGCGAGGATAATGTTGCATCCAACGTCGGTGACAGAGAAGTTTGCGGAAATCAGAACATTGACCAGCTCCGGCGTTCGTCGAGCGATGACGAAACTCAGATTGCTGCTCATCCTGCTCAGTATTTCTTTGACCCAGCCATTGTGCGAGGAGGTATACTGCGTGTGGTCAGCAAGTACTAAGCGATTAGATTGTGCTCAATAAACCCACCTCCAGGGCCACGACAAGATTGAAGAGGCCCTCCGAGTCATTTTCCACCTCAATTTCTCCATTCTCGAGGACGTTTCCACGGTGCCAGCTTCCGCACCGAGGGAAGTCCGTATCCTGATCAAGAAGGTCAAGCCACTCCCTCGTTTTGCACGAGCAGAGACCAGAGAGCTCCAAAGCACGCATATTCGGCATTTTATGTGCGACTAGGTCAAGGAGGATCGTTACGATACTCTGCCTCATGTCGTTCATTGAGTCTCCCTCCTCCTGCTGGAAGGCATTGTTTACGTACCGAGCCAATGCGGTATCCGAGCCTGGACCAACACGTGTTATGTCCGGTTTCCAATGAATCCGGAGGCATGGGTGGCGTTGATCAATCTCTCTTTGATCGATACTGCCGTGATAGCGCGACGTCCGGACATCCTTCATGTCCAGTACTGGATACCCACGGCCGTCTCGGAGCGTGCAATCGAGGACCATCCTGGTAAAGCCTGTTGCCACCGACCGTGTATGTATGGTTGCTTTGGTTTCCCCAGCACGAGGAGGCTGTACGTGACACTGTGAAATGAACACAGGCATCCATGCCCCAAGAGTGGCCACGTTGCCTCCCGTAAAACCAAAGATGGCTGTTTGGATGCAAGCGTCGATCGCGATGGGATGTATCATGTACGCTGACCCAGTCGATGGTGGAGACTCCAGGTTGGTCTCGCCCACAGCCGCCTGCTGTTTCCTACTTCCATGGGTCGAGAGACCTGTTACTGACTGGAATGATGGACCGAAGTTCAAGCCCTCTTCGCGTAGCTTTTGGTACCACTTATTCATATTCCACCTGTCGTAGTTGTCGTTCGTCTGGAGGAGAACAGCACCCTCCTTTTCTGGGGCATTCGCCGTTCTGATATATCCGGCACAGTGCTCCGTAGCTGCACCCCTTGACTCCACGAGGACACCGAGAACTCGTACCATTCGTCCGAGGTAGATGCAGAAGATATCCTGCAGGCCCTCAGATTAGTGTGTAGCTCTAGAACCTCGTTTCCAGCCTCTGAGTTGTCCGGAATGACCAAGGCTTTATTGATGGCTACATCTCTCAGCTCGAAACCCCGATCGTTCTGTGGAGCACTCTGCACTTGGGAGAATGACTCAATTGCCATGGCGATGTATCCAGCGGCGGGGAAGACAATCTGTGCCTCTAGCTTGTGGTCACGAAGCCACGGAATCTCGTTCAGGCTAAGCAGATTTCGCCAGGCCCACTGGAGCCCGCTTCCAGCAAGCTGCTGTGATCCAATGAGCTCGTGTCGCACATGCTTTCGGTTTCGCAAGTCAGAGCTGGTACGCGACTCTTCCCAGAGAAGGGGGCTTGAGTAGTTCCAAGGGTATGGTGGAATGTTGACCAAGGCAGAGGCGTCGTCAGAGATGCCGTTTACCTCAGCCCAGTCTAGTTCGTGACCATGGGAAAAAAGACTACCAGCCAATATTTTCATGGCTAGGTCGCTGTCACTGTCCCTCGACAAGGTAACACTGTACGGTAAGTCCTTCTTCTTGTTACTGGCAAGAGTACGAAGGACTGGGCCCTTCAGAGCATGATGAGGTCCTATTTCGATCAGATGATAGTCGCCAGCTTCAACCAACCGTGTCAACGCAGAAGAGAATTGGACGGTGTTTTCGAGATTCTTTCGCCAATACGTTGGACTTGCGCACTCTTCGGCATGCAGAGCGATGCTCCCTGCTGTAGAAAACATGTCTACTTTGGCGTTGTGTCTCAAAGCAAGGGTGGCGCAATCCAGGAACGGTGTGATCAGGCGCTCATAGAGGTCTCCGGTGTCTCTCATGAGATGAGAATGGTAGGCTTTGCCCCCCGTATCGAGCTGTCGTACAAATTTCCCTTGTGCCTGAAGCTCAAGGTGCAAAATCTCGATCGCATCTTCGGTGCCGCTTATCGTGACATTCTCTGAGTCATTGATACAGGCTACGCAGACTTCTTTCTTCAAATCCTTTTCTTGTATGATGCACTCAACGGCTCGCTGTCCCAGACCGACTGCCAGCATCGCCCCAGGAACGTAAAAGCTCTCAACCGCGTAGCCCCTCAAGTAGGCCACGATGATTGCTTGGGATGCAGTGAGCAGTCCTGCAGCATATGCTGCAGCAATTTCTCCCGAAGAGTGGCCAAGTACGGCTGATGGGGAAACTCCCCAAGCTCGCAACACGTCAACAATTCCAATCTGTATAGCTGTACAGAGGGGCTGACTGTATGAAGCACGGTTGACGTTGTCGGTAGAGGAGTTTGATATTTCTTGCTCCAAAGTCCACATTGGCTTCTGTCCATCAGGAAGCGACTGGAGCGTGCGATCAAGCTGTCTGATGGTCTGGCAAAAAGTTTGATTTTGGGCTATAAGATTGCTTGCCACTGTCGTTTATCAGTATAAAGTACAGAAAACACAGTTTTTAGGTAGATAAATACGTACTTCCAGCATACTGAGCGCCCTGTCCAGTGAAGATGAATGCCGCGGGTAGGCTGTGCCTTGGTGTGGACTTGGTGGTTCCTGAGGCTCCAACCTCGACGTGAGTGGTGGAATCTGCCAAGAGACATTTTCTGTGTTCAAAATTGTATATACGCTGGGATAGCGTGAACGACAGGTCCTCGAGAGAGGTCAAGCTCGACTGGGTCATATTCCAAATCTGTGACATGCGTAGCTGCAGAGACTCGCTTGACTTTGCGGACAAAGGAATGACAAATTTCTTGTCTGAGGCTGGGTGGAGCATCCTCCTCCTCGCTTTCTGGGTTCCCAGATAGCTCTCCAAGGACTCCACAATCGTGTGCGCGTTCGCACCTCCATAGCCGAAACAGTTGATGCTAGCACGACGGGTCGAGCTGGGCCACATCTCTGGCTGGGTAACAACCTTCATATTCATTGAATCAAGAGGCACTGTACACCATGAGTATATATCCTAACGGGTGAGGTAAAGGAAAAAATGCTGGCACTCACATTTGGGGCTCAACTTTTTCAAGCCATAAGTAGGTGGTATCATGTCATTCTCGAATGCAAGGAGAACCTTGATGAGTGATGTCAGACCACTTGCCGCCTCGCTGTGGCCAAAATTTGTCTTGACCTAATTATTTATTAGCAATAAAATCGTCATCATCGTTTTGGAGTTCTCACCGAGCCAATCATCAATGGCATTCCCTCCCGCGGTGGGAAGCACCGCCTGAGTGCCTCGACCTCTGTGGCATCCCCAACTGAAGTTCCAGTACCGTGGCACTCAACGTAATCCGTGCCGAGAGGATCAAGCTTGGCGTTTGCGTACGCCTTTTGAATGACAGCCTCCTGGAATGCTGCGCTCGGTTGCGCGATCCCTGTGGTTTTCCCATTCCTGAAGTGATGTTTATCATGATTAGTCATTGCACGAAGCCACTATCCAAAGGCAGCAGAGATGTTCATCTAAGATTCAACAAGCCCCCACAGCTAATGGACTTACGAGTTGACTGCAGTCCCCCGAATGACGCCCCAAATTTTGTTGCCGTCCTTGACTGCAGCTGATAGACGTTTGAGGTACACGGCGTTGATTCCTTCGGCTCGTCCATAGCCATCTGCCGCCTCGTCAAAGGTATGACAGGTCGATGTGGGAGATAATACACCTCCTTTCATGGTCTCGAGGTGCATTTCTGGGCTCATGATCAAGTTCGCACCGGCTACAACAGCACCGTCGCAATCGCCGGTTTGCAGCGCCTGGACAGCGGTATGCAAGCAGTAGAACGAGGATGAGCAGGCCGTGTTAACAGCCAGGCTAAGTGTGAGTTTAGTCAAGTAAGGCTCGCCAATCTGCAAATGGTTGAAGGCTTACCTGGGACCATGGAAATTGAAAACGTGGCTGATCCTGTTAGCGAGGATCGCCATATTGGAGCCGGTCGAGCTGTATCGATGCATGTAATCTGGATCTCGAAAGTGCATGTTGGTGAAATCGACCGTGAAGTTGCTCACGTAAACGCCAGTGTTTGAGTTACTCGCGTTCTCCATCGAGATGCCGGCACTTTCAAGACACTCATAAGTGATTTCAAGAAGTTTGCGCTGATGGGGATCCACTATAAACGCCTGTCAGGACATCTGTAGTTCCGGACAGAATAAGATCTGATAACTGTAAGGAATGACAAAAGCCGGAAATCTCCCGAGTTTGTCATCACTTACTTGATTTTGCCTCGAGGTTGTTGATTCCGAAGAAGTCATTGTCAAACAGGCGGACATCTTCGTTCAAGAAGTAGCCGCCGTCGGCCGCTATAACTCCTGGACGCCCATCATTTGTGCAATGGAACCCATCTATGTTGAACCTCGCAGCTGGAACTCTTCCTTGGGCGGATTTCTTGTCCACAAGAAAATCCCACATATCTGAAGGTGACCGGACGTCTCCAGGAAGCCGGCAAGCTTTACAATAAAGAAATTAACCAAAGGTTCTCTGGGGGCTGAAGAGAGTGTTTGGAACTACCTATGCCGACAACGCATACAGGATCGTCGTCCATGATCGAGAGCAATTTGTCTGGGACGGAACTTTCACCATTCCAATGACTTGTATTTCCGTTTGAACTGGTCATGTTGCCTGTACCAGACGAAGCTTAGTCTGACAGAAGGACTGCTGAGAGTGAGGGAAGGAAAAATAAATCAAAAAGCGGATTGGTTCTCTGGCTTAATGTTTCAAGTAGTGAAGAGTGCCAATTATAGTAAGTCAAGCTTTGTAGGAGAGTATACGGCTCTCAAATACTTATAGTTAGAGACTCCGTGCTCTCTACCAGGCTATTAGTTGCTTCCATTATCACAACTTCCATACGTCCTTTGCTTAGGCTTTGGAGAACATCAATACCTAGCCATCCTCCAAGTCCGGGGCATCAAGAGCCGAGGAGCAACGAATACAATGCACGCAAGACTTTGATTGCAACCAAGATCGATTCGTCAAAGTGACGTGCACTGCCGTGGCTTCATCTCACCGAACTCGACAAAAAGATAACTTCCGGTGTTGTGATCCGTGCTGCGGTTTCCGAATCTGGACATATGAATCGACATGGGTAGCAACAGCAACCCTCTTTTTGGCTAGCACATACTACTCAGCTCATTTCCAAATCCCGCTGCGCTCTTGCGCGAGTCGTATTGGTCATGACGCGCTTTTCCGTGGCAACATCCGAAAGGTCTGCTCCACATTTGATGTAGAAAATCTTTTCGATGTAGAGATACCAGAGCCGCGTGGTCGTTGTTACACGCACAGATAATATGGTTGATACGATGTTCAACCGCTTCTCTTCGTAGAACATTATATTATTAGCCAATATTGAACTTTCTGGGGCGGCTTTCAGCCTTGTCAGAGAGCGATTGGCTGGCTGTGTTGTATTCGTAAGCGACATACAGAATGCTTTTCCCGCTTATGCGGGCAGTTTGGGGTACATAGTGGTTGACGCAACGGGCCGTTTGTTAGCTCTTCCGCTGTGCTGCGGGTCATAGGGCAGCATTGCAAAGGTTGGCGTCCTGCCCAAAGTCGGCGATATACGGCGTCGCTCCAGTAAGCCCCTGCCATGACGGTTCTGCCCCATGACATTTGCCTTTGATAGACAACCGTTTACCGAAATGGGAGAAGGTTGCAGTGTGCGGGCAGTCTGCATCAATATTTGGTAGCTCCGGGGTGCACAAGCCTTGTGTCGCCCCCACGCAACCCTTCCGGATCGCACACTCCTTGACTGTCTTACCCAAGAGAAGTGAGGTATGCATTCTGCGCCGTTGGTTGGTCATGAGTCGCGTCCTATGCAGTATGAGCTCCAAAGGGTGTCGATGCGACCCTAGGCTTATGTGATGTTCTCAGCCTGCTACAAATCCATATTCTCCATTGGCTGCTTTACACAATATGCAGGACACGGTGGGCAGGGTAGACACACATCTCACAGCCCTACTGGCTGGTTCGTCTAAATTACATTCATGCCACCCTTTTCAACCTGTCTTGAGCTCCTCTTCGTTCAATTGCACTACCGGCTTACCCATTAACCCAACATATCCTGCTCAAGCCCATAGACCGAGAGACATTGATTGACGTTCCGTCATCAGAATCATCGAGAGCAAGTTTTTTGTGTGTGCTTTCTTCTTCTTCCATCTTTTCTCTACCAAAATTATAGTTCCATATGGCTCCAACAAACAATATTCAAGTCGGATCGAGCACGCTGACTGGGCCAGCCGGCGTGCCTCCCACTGGCACTGAACCCAACTTCGATGATCCATCAAATCAAAATGGTCTAGTGCGAGCGGTTGTGGTCCTTGTAACTGTCATCACATCGCTTTTCATGATCATGAGGATCTATTCTCGCATTATCCTGAAGAGATTCACATTGCATGACGGTAAGTCGGACTTGCATTCATAGGTGCGCAGATGGGCAGATGAAATAGTGGCTAATATTCTACAGCTCTCGGCCTTGCGGCATTTGTATGCCCTCTCAGATCCCAAAAACACGCTGGCGGATGAATCACTGACTATTTGCCAGGCGCTTTATCTAGCGTTCGTTGAAGTATTTATCAGGCTCCTCAATTCCTACGGCTGGTTTGTTGATATGTGGGATCTACGTCTCCAAGACTATCCAGCTGTCAATCAGGTACCCGCCCCTCTACAGTCTTTTTGTCATATAATATGCTGATGTCTTGTTAGGTGCTCTTCCAGGGCCTGATCATTTATTTCTGCGTCCTCCTACTCATCAAATCAGCGATACTCCTCGAGTGGACCTCCATCTTCGTACCGATGGGAACCCGCGATGCGTTTTGGTGGATCAGCAATCTGGTTCTTGCTGTGCACGTCTTGTTCTATGTCTCAATGATCATAGTCGAGCTTACAGCTTGTACACCATTCGAGAGGAATTGGAATCCTCTGATAGCTGGTAAATGCCTCAACACAGTCGGCGTAGCAGTGGCTATATCTGCCGTCAATCTGTTTTTCGACATAACCATTTTCTTGTTGCCTCAACGAGTTATCTGGTCACTCAACATGCGTACTCAGAAGAAACTCGGAATCTCATTTCTCTTTGGAGTGGGCGTTCTGTAAGTAAGATTTCTTGACGCTCGAACCGAACCGCCATGTGCAATGAGTACTGAACATGTACTGACATTCGTAGTGCCTGCATTGCAGCAGGCTTCCGCTTGGGAGCTTCCCTTAAGTTTTACAAATCCGCGGATGTCACATATACGTTCTCCACGCTCGCACTTTGGTGCCTCGGCGAGGTGACCTGCGCCTTCATTATTTTCTGTGGTCCAGCAATTCCGAAGATCTTCAGCAATACGGAATTGCAAGGGCTCGTGTCGAATCTAAAATCGTGGGCCGGGTCCTCGGTTAGAAAGCTGGTATCATCTGGAAGCTCGAGTAAAGATGGCTCATCACTCGGAACTCGGAAGCGGTCCAGATCCAACTTTTCTCGCCATGACAACTCGCTAGAGAAAACAAGCTTTCCACAAGTACCGCCATTGCCTGAACAGTACAGAACAAGAGATACTGGGAACTTGCCATCTGGGGACAACAGCGATATGAGCCCCCAAGCCGGAGAGATCGTCCAGACTACACGTTTCACAGCGGTTGAAGACTCCAGTGTACAGAATATTGCGGATGACCAACATAGCCGCCAGCATCCTTGGATGTATTCACAGGAGAATATCTGAGGGTGTAAAGATGTTCATTCAAAAGGCTTTGGTCAAAGGTTTGGGTGGACAGTCAAAAAGCTCCTGCTAGTGTCAAGAGTCGGCACTGATGGTCAACAAGAGTGGCGGATAGTCGTAATTAGATATCCTTACGCAATCTCCGGAAGACTGTAGGTTACCTTGGAAGGGATTTGCTTTCAATCTTGTATACATGGAGTTAGGATTATCTCTATTTCAACGATTCGTTTATGAGATACTGGTCGTGTATGGTACATTCTCAAAAGTTTGGGTGTTGTACCGGGAGAAAAAAAAACCATTTCCTTAGTTTTTAGTTCATATGTGCAATCCATCCGCTCTCTGCCTGTCGCTGCCCCGCCTTGGCTACTTACGTACCTGGACTTCAATCGCATTAAACCAAAATTTCGGTGATAATCCCAATGCTCAATATCCTGCCAACGTATTCGCAACTGACTTTGTCGAGGCTCTGACACCAATACCTGGAGGAATAAGGCTCTGACTGGCCGGTGCTGTTGCCTGAGTCGTTCAGGGTAGATTGCGTGCTATATTGCGGCACAGTCGGGCGACGATCACAGAGAACATCACAATTTTCCTCCAAACGCCAAACGTTCAATGTACCTACCTAGGTACCTAGGGAGGCATCCCATAAGGCTGCAAGGGTGCAAGGATACCTATAATGTACCTCATATAGGGACGAGGGCGCGCTGGGCTTATTACATGAGCACCGGAAACGGCATCCCCGCTGACCTTCAGTGTACTCGGGTACCTACATAGGTATGTACCTATATAGTTAGTCGTTGGCGCGGTGAGCGGCCCCAACCGCAAAGGTGCATTTGCCTGTGTAACCAACGGCACGGCACTTTTGGAAATCTGCCTGGCCTCCAAGTTTCATTTCGGGATCTGCACCTCGCTCGGGCGTGGTAAGCACCGGTTGCATCAGTGGCAGTTTGGGGTAACCTGACAGGTGTCTTGGCTCGAAAGATGCTGTACGGGAATTGCTACGGCTATCGCAGCGGTCCTACAGCCCCGCCTCTGCTTCACTCACCCCTGATGCTGCGTTCACCGGTGATCGAATCAGAGATGACACGGTACAAAGTACCCAGCAGGAGATCCAACAACGGCCTGATAAAACACGTGCTGCTGGGTCAAGTATTCCGCGCTTGTGCGTCTGTCAGTTCTACTTGATCAACTTCTTTTGAATAAACCTCAACTCCTCATCCCAAGCCAGGCATCTGATTGATTTGGCATTTGTTCCAGTCACTCAGCGTCCGTCATGGGTTCTCTCGTTCTGCAATACGGAGGCTCTACCTCTCTGCTCTATGGCGCAATCACTCTTGTTAGGATTTCCCGCCTGCCCACTGATGTAGCGCAGTCTACTGATAGAAACGCAGGTCGCTGTTTTCCTCGGCTATGAAATCTTTTTGCATCCCCTGAGGAGGTACCCAGGTCCACTGCTGGCCAAGTTCACCAATCTCTACGCTGCATTCTTCGCCCTCGAGCGCAAGCTGCACCTAGAAACATGGGAGTACCACCAGAAATACGGTGAGCTAACAAGACCTCTGAAACGCCAGAGCATCATGAGAATGTTGACTTGTGTGCGCGAACAGGCCCTGTCGTCCGGCTGGGGCCAGATAGGCTCGTTTTCGACTCCCTTGAAGCTTTGAGAGGTACGTACGCCATATAAGCGGACTGCCCACTCTACTAACATTCCAGACATCTACCAAAACGAGAGGACCACGAAGCCACCGCTATATCTGGCGACCCAGGCAAAGGCCGGTACTTTCAGCATCTGGAACGCTCTAGATCGGGGCTTGCATAGTCGCAAACGTAGACTGGTTGGTCGCGCGACTACCGACGCCTCGATGAGAGAATTTGAACCGACCATGCTCGAGCATACCGATGTATTTATACAGAAACTATCGGAAACGCTCCATGAGCCTGTGAACATGAAGGATCGATGCAGCTATCTGAGTTTCGATATCATTGGTCTTTTGTCTTTTGGTTATGCCATGAACCTCCAATCAGATCCGGAGAATCAGTTCCTGGCTGACCAGCTGACCCGTGGAAATCATCGCATGAACATTTTCATGCAAATTCCTGTGATCCCGCGATTCAAGTTACAGCGTTATTTCAATCTCTTCTTTAAAGCAGAACGCGAAAGGACGGCGCAGCTTATAGGAACCATGATCCATACCCGCATGGCTCAAGAGACTCATGCCCGACGTGATTGGTATTCCTTTCTGGCCGACTCACTGAAGCCCGAAAGCGACGGGAGTATTCGTATGGGTGATCTCTGGCTAGAGGCCTTTTTCTTCATTATAGCAGGTTAGTCTCGGATCTCACCCTCGCTGTCGCATCCTGTAATCGCCATGCTCACCCATAGGTACAGGGGGTGACACGACCTCCACCGCCATGAGTGCGACACTATTCTACCTTGCGCGCAATCCGGATTGCTACCGCAAGCTTTCCCGGGAGATCCGGACGACCTTCGAGACCGCTGATGGGATTCAGGGGGCCAAGGTGACAAACTGTCGTTACCTCCGTGCTTGTATCGACGAAGCTCTGAGAATGTCGCCGCCGATCCCAGGTGCTCTATGGAGACACTTGGCGCCGGAGGAAAAGGCGGCCGGACCATTGGTCGTGGACGGACACGTCATTCCGGACGGCACAAAAGTTGGTGTGAATATATATTCGCTACACCATAACGAGGTTCGTCATCATACTTCGGAGGGGGTTCTGCATTCTACTTCGAAGAGTCTCAAGGACAACAGCTGACGGGTATCGCAGAAATACTTTCCCCAACCTTTCGTCTACAGCCCTGAGCGCTGGCTGGAGACCGACGATCCAAATGATGGAACTACTTTACCTAGAGCAAACCGCGAAGCATTTGCACCATTCATCACAGGTGCTCGGGGTTGCGCTGGTAAACCCATGGCTTATTTAGAATCAAGTCTGGCTCTAGCTAAGATTATGTGGCACTTTGACTTCAGGGCTGCGCCTGGAGGCCTAGGTGATATTGGTACCGGCAAGCACGGAGAGTTTTACCTGCACGATATCTTCACCTCGACTCATGATGGTCCATATCTGGTGTTTGAGAACCGCATACCTGACGATGTTTCTCCTTCAATTTAATCAGAGCTCAATGCAGCGATTACTCCGTCCTAGGCCTTGCGCCAGAGACGATATCTGTATAGGCCTCAAGGAGAGCTCGAGAGACATTTTGTAAGCTAACCCATTCAGCAAGGAAATTTATGAGCGGTGCATTAAGGCTGGTGTTGTTAAAATCAATATTAACCGCGGCTTTAATGATCACTATGCTGCCTCAAGGGAGGAGACTAAGGGTCGACCTCTCACTACCATAATCGAGGCGGGGACGATGGAGATGCAAAAAGCTGTACTGAAATATATGGACTGGTTTAATTTTTCAGAGAAAGCTTAATAAAGCATGGTTGATTTATTTAATGGAGTGTTCCAAAGTGACTTTTGTTTTTGTGATACAAATGTAATATCGATATAACACAACTCTAACTCCAAGCAAAATATAGTTCTAAATATATTTAGAATCTACCCAGGCTAATAATTACAAATATATATTTATAAAATAACGGCTTTAACTTTTAGCGGTTTTATTTAATAGAAGGAGATTAAAGTCAACTTCTTTAACACTCATTATTATTGGCTATCAGTCGTCGTCAGCTGGGAACTCTTGCTTATGAGATTTTCTTCTATTTAATTTATTTAAGCCAGCTGCGTTGGATTCAAGGGAAAATATTTAAAATTGACTAACCGTGTTATGGCAGATACTGTATGGCACCGGTCTCGTCCCCGTCCCGTGGGCATATAGGTCCCAGCTCGTGATCGTTTCCCAACGATTGCGAGCTGCTCTTTCCCTCTTCGTATAGTGGTATTATATGCCGTGACAATTATGCTCTTTCAGAGCTCCGGTTCGATGCAAGGTTCCAGTGATAGACCAGCCGCCATCCTTATAAGGCAGGGATGCTTTCCTTTGTTTTCTATTAAATAAAATGACCCACTACTGTTTTGCTTTTATCACATTATCTCATCAAGCTCCTCTAAGCTGTCGTTCTCAGTTGTGTATACCCCCGGTTTTCCATTGTGACAGCCTCTCCCTAAGGCATATCGTGCATTAGCCCATGCGTCTATCTCGCTTATTGTCCCAAAACGTGGGTGCGGACCGATTGGTATAATCTGGCCCTTTTGCAGTTCGCATACTATTTTGCCTTCACCCGTGTTATTGTCATTCAGCAAAGTAGCTAGCGCACTATTCCTCCAGCTGGGTAATTGAAGTTGCCGGCTTTGCAAACGCACACTGAGCACGAAAACAATATTCGACAATACCAGCACGACAGGTAAGATAAGCCATGGCCAGCGCACTTGTATGTACTGTTCCTGGTATTGAGTCGTACCAATGGCAACGTCAACAGAAGCCGTGCGCAGATATTGCGTGACGCTTCGGGCAATACTCTCGAAAATAAAATCCAATGTCGTATTCCAGGGTCGAAGTTGTATGATGGCTTCCGCAAGAATATAATTATCCTCACACTTGTGAACACTCAAACCCATAATTTCACCAGAGAAGTGTGGAGAAACCTCGTAACGAATCATGTCCCAGCCTGTGGATGAAACCGCCACCGGGTATCTCTTGCCAGCCGCAGTCGTTTCGAGTGACCAATAGGAACCCGACGAAATCTTAGCAGCCTCAGGATTGGTGTCGATGCCGTCACGTGTCCTCAACGTCCAGTTCCCTTTGATGAAGTCGCCGGGGGTTTCCGTAAACAGTCCCTGTTCTATTGATGCAGTGTATAGTTGCAAGCCCAAGTCAAGAGTGCACCGAAATGATTGGAAACTGTCCGTAGCAGCCTCGAACAATATCATGTAGACTTCCGTGAAAGACAAGTTGGTCGAGTTGTATGAGGCTTCAGTTACTTCATCCATTATTTTTGAAGACATGTTAAGGAAGGTACTTTGGTCTAGGTTCTCCTCAAAACTGAACGGGTCGAGAGCCATTTGACCGCTGAGATTGAGACTCGGGCCCTGATTCACAGATTCTGGAGGAAATATGGGATAAGTTGATAATTTGACGATTCTGTAACTTGTCCCATCATTCTCATACTGGAGCTGATCGGTTATATTCGAGCATTGGTGTTTAATGGCTAAAGAGGCATATGGCTCGAAAGTGCAACTACCGGTACTGCAAAAAGGCGTGACAGTGTCAAGGGCTTCCAAAGATCCGGTAGGCGAGACATCCACTGCCCCAGAATACAGAGCGTTGTTCGAAATGTTTTGAGCGCTGAATGTCCCAGTATATATTGCCCTTAAGAGTAAGGGATCGGAAGTGATGTTTGGGTCAAGAAATTTGGCCACTGGCACAGTGGCGGTATCTGTAAGTCTCAGTCTGGACTGCTGCGAGGTGGACGCCTGGATTGTTGCGTCTGAACCCAGGGCCACCAGCATGATTAATGACCCTGTAATAGCAAGCGCAGACCGAGTTCCGCTCCAAAGGAGCAGTAACGCACCAATCGGGCCTCGGGACGCGCTATCGAAAGCTTGAAAATACTCCAGAGGTTGAGGCGATTGAGAGTACCATGCCCATTTTAGTTGTCCTATTGATGAGCTTGCAGCTAGCACAACTGATCCCTTCAAGGCTGTCGCCAAAATGGACAAAACGGCATTGATACCAAGACCTGAATGCCATGAATCGGCTGGCTTGTCATGGAAACAAGATAGGATGACGGAAATGGCAACCAAGCATGATACTGATAATGCTAGAGCCAGATCTTCAACTATCCAAGAGTCTTGGCACCATCTCAGAATGCCTGGGGATTTGAGGAGCTTGGAACCTCCCAGGCCTCCTTCTCTGAAAGAACGAGTAGGCATCGGTGCTGCATTGCTGCCCATCAGGGGGTTTGTGTCCATCCTTTCACTCTCAGTCTGCAATGTGGGGCCTTCAGCCTTTGAGTTCGGAGCCTCCATGTTGAGAATATCCAGAATGGGCAGTCTTGTTGCTTGAACGTCGCGACAACCGAATTGTCGAGAGATGGCAGAGGAACGACGCGAGGCGATTATACTTGAGCAGTTCTTGCGGATTAATGCACCTTCAAAAAAAAAAAAGGGTACATGGGGTAGATCTCTCATAAAACGGTATGAAACGGGGATCGAGAATAGGTCAGAAAAGTGGGTGTGTGTGTGTGTAAAGTAGAAGTCAGTAAAAAGGTGGGAACCGGTAAAAGCAGCACTTGGGTTAGGTATTAATACGTTAAGTAACCGCGTTGCCACACAGCAGGATAGCCGCCTTGCGAAGTGCTACGAGTGGTTGGCCCAACGTGGCAGTATGCACCTAGGTATGTAAGGCTAGGCTTATTCGCGGACAACTTAGGGGTCCAGGGGGCGTTCTACAATGGAATAAGGCTCGTAAAAGTATGATTACTATATATGTTGGCATCAGGCAGAGTCGTTTCCGCCATTCTTGCCGGTTTCCCTAGTCTCGCAATTAATCATCTACCTTGGTAACAGCCATATAAAAGCCCGCCGTTGCCGCTGTACTTGCGGCGTGCTAAAAAGGAGTGGTTTCAGGCATAAATGATCGGGTCGTTCGCGCTGCAATTGGACCAGTGAAAGTATTCAGGGGAGCTGGTTCAGCAGTCGAGAGCAATCACGAGGGGAAAAGATCAAAGCAAGAATGGGCCAACGGCAGTACATTCGTGCTTTTACTACGAGTATTATTGCTTGTCCTTTTGATTAGAGGATGATACCCAATCATACCTAAGCTGTTTACGATGAAATGAAACGTTTTCTCAGCTCCGAATGTCTAAGAGTCGACGCCACTCTTACATTAGGGTATCATCTTTGATAATAAAAGGATTTGGCCCCTAACTCCCGAATTTCAAGGGCGCTTATTTATTGATTGCCTCCCATACAATTTCCACCCACCCCTCACCCCTCACCTGACATGGGATCAAGCAGCCAAGCTTTCCACGAGCTAAATGGGTTTGGTAAACATCGAAGGGCTTTAGGAATATAGGCTATGGCGATGGTCTAGGTTTTATTCAGGCCCCTGCTTGCCTATCGATCGTCAGGCGGCGGGCGGGCGGGCGTGCGGCATAAGGCTCGTGGATGATTCAACATCCTCTTCGCTAATGTACACTAGTTCCACCAGCGGCTGCGATGGGAAGTGAACAGGTAAGCATGCGAATAAGAGCGGAGGGACAAGATAATTATTCAATAGACTAGCAAGTCGACGATATATTATCCGATTAAACCATCGCGAAGCTCGTCAAGGCAACGTAAAGTGGAAAACCCCTCTAAAGGAATCCTTGCATATCCTTGCATATGAGCTGAGAGCGTAACGGTGGGTTAGTTCCGGCTTTTATGCCGAAAGGGGGACGAGGCATTAATGATTTATGTTGATCAAGGTGGTGCTTTCCTATTGGAGTTTAAACTGGTCTGGTGTCACTTATGTGATGTATTGATCTATGTTCTGCGCCTCTTAGCTTTTCTGAGTGTACGCTTATTTGGGTGGTCCCGGCTAATCCCCAGGAGGTCCCGTATATCTATTTGAATACTATAATGTTAATCAGTGTGCTCAACCCAGTGTATGGGAACTATGATCCACCATCTGACAATTACAAACATGTATCTATAAATGCTTTCCATCGTATTACTGCCTCTCATTACTAGCTGAAGAATCCGAATATGGGTCTCCAACTCGCCCGAATCGTTCAAAAGTGAGACCCTGGTGTTTCTGTCTTTGATAACATGCCATTTGCAGGCACCATTTTCTTTCCAACACATCTTCCTGGATGCCACACAGAAAACAGCAATGTCGTAAGGGCCACTGGGGCAAACTCAAGGCATGCAAAGAGGACTTCGTTGGTGTACAAAGACCCGCCGAGGCCTTCAGCCGTCTCCGCAAGTCGGAAACAGGTGCGTAAATAAATCAATACAGTCGCCACGAGCAGAACCAGATAAAATCTCATCAAGCCTGCCTTGGCAACCTGTCGCCGTCCACGTAGGATAAAGGTGACTGTCAAAATCAGGAACATGCCCAAGGAGAAGACCTGATAAGCCAAGCCCCCAAGTAAGATGTTGTTGGCCGTAGTCGGGTCCTCCCGCCGAGACTCCGTCACGCCAATAAGCGCAGCGCCGGTGATCTGCAAAATCGTCGAGATGACATCGGAGACGACGAAGAACCAGATGATTGTCTTTGGTGAGATGAAGGCAAACCGGCGTCCAGATTCAACCCTTGATATGACGGCAGATAAGATGGTATAAATCCCTGCGGCGAGAAACACGGGTGCTGTGACGATGAAGAAGTACTGGATAATGAAGTATATCAAGTTGTACGGATCCTTCTTTGCCGATAAAGAGCGCGCAACATAGCCGATGACCTCGAATAGGAGGCCAATGGGGAACGTGATGAAATACCAGCTACGATGCCGTATCGCCTGCGCGAGGTGGACAACTAGAAACAGAACGAACCATGCGGCGGCAAAGATCGCAAGCGAAAAGGCTGGCGTATAGCCGTAGATGATAACATATGTGTCCCACTTGCCACCAGGATTGGGGAAGTTGGGGTCAACATAGCCTGAGGAGCTGGCACCTATTGACTATCAGAATCGTCTCTGTCAGTATTTTTCAACATGTAGCCTACGTGTACGAATATCCATTTCGCTCTGTGTTCGCCAGCGCAGTAAGATAGCAAGCAACTGGGTTGAGACTGGCTGGGAGACAAGCCAAACGATCGAGCTGAGCAAGTCACCTTCGCAATTCTTTCCTCCGGCAGAAGATGACGCTCATGGGAAAGCTTTATATTGTAGGTAAGCATATCGACTCAAGACCCAAGTGGGTAAGCAGATCGCCATGGGGGTGGAACACTCCCAGCTCCTTGTATTCGTGCCAAGGGCGGCAGCACCCAGATCCACGTGGCAGCCCAGCAAAGCCAAGCCGAGAAACGACTACTTCCAGCCCAAATGACATCAAGATGCTCCACTCTACAAAGACAGAATCATGTTGGACAATCGTGAAAGGCATGTCCGAATAAAAGGCCACGTAGTGATTGGTGAGAAAAGTAAAGAATTAGGAGCGTAGACTGCCCAAGATTGTAAACATCCAGGCCGAGGTTTGTAGGCCGAATTGCACACAGAACGACTCGGGGACGGAGACGGCCCGTGGATCCTCGGACATCGGGACGCCAAGAAGTGCGAGGTGGGGCCGAACATGGTGTTTTGTTCAAAACACAACTGCTGCTTCCAAAATCAAAGATCATAAGGAGATCGATATTGATCCAAGATCGAAGAAAGGGCTGGTCGAGGCTCTAAATCTATGAATACACTTCATGTGATTGGCCTTCAAGTTTGCACACCAGCCTCGGCTAATTTTCAACCCCCTTAATGATGCGTAGGTATTTATTCCGCTCTATACTAAGGTCAGGCTAATGTTGAAGTATATATCGCTCAACACATACGAGCAACTAATTACAATATATTGATTCTGGCCGAATATATATACGTGCATGCAGTACATGGAAAGCAATAACAACGTATACGCTTCGCCTGATCTAAAAACAAGCAATATTGGTAAACTGATTAATTATTGCTTAGAGATTATCGAAAAAGAAATGATGGACCATCTTTCTCATTCAGTTTCATTTTTTTGAAAACATGAAAAAAAAAAAAAATTGAAATCGCATAAGCGACTCTTATAAGTTTTATGAGGCACGGCCATGTGGCAATATCCTGTTCTCCCATTTCGCATCAATTGTACGCGTATTATAACACGCGAGTTACGATAAAACTATGCGGTATAGCATGCAAAGTGCCATAATTTGCAATAATCTTTTCTCCTCTTCGGTTCTGTCTGGCCAGAAACTTCAGGTTTTCATACACTGCGCCGGCTGCCAATTTGACACAAATAATTTCCATCGTATATAGTTGTGGTCGTTTTGTGATTCCCCAAAATGTAGAACATTTGTGGGCCATGTCGTAATATATGTCTATAGGCTCCGGAGGAGATAGAGCATACGTCGCCTTGTCTCAATCATATGAGCGCCTCTTGCAATCACAGAACAGCCCACTCAGAAGAAGTCCACCGCATATGTGGTCATTTCCCGGCTGGCATTGTGGTGGGCGACCTTGGGCTACAACAAAGGGACAATCCTGGCGGCAAGAAATGTTAACAAAAACACAAGCATGGCTCACCAAGATATTGATTGGTTTGAGTGATTGGCATGCCTCTGTTTAAGAGGCTGCATCCCGTGCGCAGCGTGAAGTTTAACTCGGTTGTGCCTCATAGATGTCTTCCCAGCTGCATCTTGAGTCGACTATAGGCGCATATACAGCATCATAGCATACACACCCACTATCGCAGCTGTATAAAAAGGCTGGGTTAACACACTAATGAATCGATACCCTTGATAGGAGGCCCACAAAGGCTGAGCACTGGAATTTTTGAAGATATTGATGAGATGTTGTGCTTTGGAGGGTAAAAGAAGGTGGAAGTCATTCGGGCGAAAAGAGCAGAGCTGCTCCTATGAAGAGTCACTTGGTCATCACTTTAATTATCGCATAGCTCTATTTTGAACTTCCACTATATTCACTTTCCTGTAGAAGTGCAATTTTTAAAGGTATCCTGTACACTCTGAATCCGTCCCCGACCTATCTTTATGTCAATGTTAGTCTAATAAGAACAAGACCACACACCATCCACAACGAGTCAGTCCACTTGGGCAAAGCAGTCACCGACCCAGGTCTGTATCAACATGGTTGCTAATAAACTCCACCAACTCAACAATCACCACAAGGCGTTGTGGCAGAGTGGTCTAATGCGCAAGACTAGAATTGATCCTATATCATCCTATCTTGTTTCTTCGGAAGCGTCTGTTCGAATCAGGCCAACGTCGCTATTCTTTTGCCCTTCTAAGTGAAGTCATCGTGATTATTGTGGTTGTGATGTTTTGGTGTTGCATTTGTGGTGTTGTGGTGGCTACGGGCAGTGTCGTGAACTGGTGTTTTTTTTAGGTCCATGCTTGCCCATATCATGATACCAATTAGGCAGGGACATAGTACCAGTAGTGAACGAGATTAAAAAGTAATATATAATAAAAAAAAAATAGGAAAGGAAGGAAAAGAAGAGAGAGAGAAAAGAAGAGAGAGAGAG